AGGAACCACTATATTGAAACGCTTTAATTGAAGGCCCTCTTTTAAAGTGCAATTCAAACCCTTAACTATCTACTATTCAGATACAAACTGAACTGTACAATTTAAAGTAAGATATTACAACTACCTCTTCCCTAAACTTTCGACTACAAATTCCTTTTACGAAATGGAATGCATTGCTCGAGTGTCTTAACAATGGAGAATATACTATATACACAATATAACCAGACAACGTTGCCTGATTAAAAGGGCCAAATAAGCAGGCGAAATTACTTAAATACCCCAAGCCACTTGAATGGAATGCCAATGATATTCTGCCCTGCTTTGTTCCTCTCTGGAAAATGCATTTTCCAGCTTCATTAGTCTCCAGCTCCAGGAGCGTCGTTGCTGCCTAATCCCGGAGCTGCACTCGTAAGCCCCCGAGATAAGCCCGCACCCAGAGACGGCTTTAGCCGGAATGTAAGGAAAGGAATATGGCTTGGACGAGGTAAATGCAAATGAAATGGGGATCCGGGGAAATGCCAAAAGCCTGCACTCGAAATGTCAGTTATTTTTAGTCCAACCAAGTCAACCGATACAAATCACTTTCGCTAATTATGCCCGTCGGACCGAACTTCGTTTCTATCTAAAGGACAGGCCAACGGACAGGCAGAAAAGTACGCCGAAAGTCAAGGATGAAAGTGGGACCACGACGCAGCTGGTCACGACCGAAAGTTCGACTTGCTTTTCCACGTAATCGAGGAGCGCACAGCTGCACAGCAATCCCTCTTGCTTCTGGGAAAATAGTGTGATGAGAGGCTAACTTACAGAAGTTCCAGGAATATATATGCCAGCATATTATGGGATCAATTTTTCAACTCACTCACGGTGCCATCTCTGCTTAAAAAAATAAAGAAAAGAAAGACAAAAGTGAAATGAAAAAGCGTAGCATACATTTGCGCGCCACACGTTGCGACAATTTTTCGACTGGCCAAGATAAAGTGCGGCGATAGCCAACGACTCACCAATGTCCACCCAGCCATGTCTGGGCCAGTGGCCGCTCCCACCGCTACCCGACGCGTCAGTGTTTTTCGGGTGAACCACTCGACGTCCGAGTTTGCTGGGAGTGCCGTCACATTTCTGCCACCTGAGGTCACGACAGCCTCGACCGCGTCGACCGTCGCCCGTCTGTGGCTTAGTTTAATTAAAGTTCTCTTGAAAATTCGATGTTCGCATTATGGCTCTATTTGCCGGCCTGTCTGGCTACCTGTCAGCCAAAACGCTGGGAATTGAGTAATTTATTTTACCCCAGGCAGCTGCAGCACCAGAAGTAGCAGCAAATTGTGCACACGTGGCGTATGCGTGTTGCGAGTGCTTTAATTGTTTGTCGTGCATCGCTTGCAATTTTCGCTTCACTTTCATTTTGCAGAGCACTGTAAGAGTATTTATTTATTTTTTATTACACCAAAGTTCCACATTGTCTGCTCTTTTTTGTCGCCCTGCCGTTGTCTGCAAAGTTTTGTCACCTAAATCATTTAGCCGAATATTGCTGGGGCCGTAAAGCAGACAACATTAAACGAAGTGCCAGGTAAGCACCGTCACGAACCGCAGAGCAATTGTTAAAACTCAGCTCTGCATATTGCAAGAAAGGGGGCTATTAAGCTGGTTATACTTTTAAGTCTGGATCGTGAAAATATTGAAATTCGTTGCTTGAAAGTGAGGCTTTTAAAGATGTCCCTGTAAATTATGGTCAAGTCTTAAAAGGTAAGCAGCTGAGTTTAGGGAAAGGTAATGTTCATTAAGTACTTATTTGGGAAATTAAATTTACTTAATTATTAGTTTTTAGAAGTCCGATTTTACTAGTTGAATTCCTTCCTTAAGAATAAGAATAAGAATGTAAAGCCACTCATTAAAAGTTATTATTTAATGTGTCTCTTCGTTTATTCTATTCTTGATTGATTCTATTGTTATTAACTATTCCCTTAATGTTAAACTTCTTATTAGTTGTAGTTTTAAGGAAAGCATAAACTGTTTACCTTACGATTCCCAGAATTTCGTGTGGTTTTGTGGGTTTTTTCAGGGTCTGAAAAACAGAACACACCAAAATCGGATCCATCAAGGTCACCACCGAGCTCCTTTCACTGTGTCTTGCTCGAAAATGTTTTGACTCCTTCCTCCTGCATTTCCCACCGCAAAACCCACCTGGAGGCTCTCCATCTCCATCGTGGTGGTCCATCGATTCGCTGGTTTGGCAGTTTACAAGCCACACCGCGCACTCTGGGCACACATTTCGAGGCTGTTTTCGCTCATTTACCAATTTGCTGGGGCTCTGTTGGGGCCCAACGGTTGCGTGTGGCGTCTATTACCCACTCCCGTGGCTATCGATGATCGATGCGTCGGCGGTGGCGGTGGCGTCCAGGAATTATGACCGGCGATAGCAGGAGCACGCACAGGCTCGACTCGACTCGCCTCGCCTCGCCTAGCCGGTGGGTGTCCTTGTCCTTCGTGGTGTCCGGAATGTCTGTCGCTTCTCGCATGGAAATTGGTAATATTCACTCAATTTATTGACTAATTGCATTTACACTAGCTAATGAAAACGCTCAAATGCCAAATAAAATGGCGAATTTATCAAATTCTCTCACGCGGCCAACGGGGCGCATGAGTAATGTCAAATCAACGTCTGAATATTAGAAATGCTAATTTATAAAATGGACACCGCTGATTCGGCAATGATTAAAAGTGGGCCGTAGGCACCGTCCAGGTGTTCGGTTTTAGACATTAGGTGCGAAGGTGTAATTTACGTGGAGATAAATGGAAAACTCGTTAGGCTTTGCAACTGGCGAGCAGACCGCCCAGTTTAGTTTTTCGTCACGACTTTTGTGATTTTCCCCGCCTCGGTCTTTCAAATTTGTGGTGTGGTCAGGAAGTGTCATTCCTCCTTGTCTTCCTCAACTTACCTGTCCTGCCCAATCTGCAGGTGACAGGCAGTGGACGAATGCAAACCAAGACTCTTTAAAACTGACGGCAACTTTCCAATTAGGAGGCTATAAAAAGTTTCCTCTGCTGCCTGCTAAATAATTCAATTGTTTTGCCATGTCCGCCAGGCTATCATCAGCTTGTTTTTGACTTTTGAAGAGCCTTTGTTATTGCACACCACATAATAATATTTTATGCACTCGCAGCTTGCTTAATTAGTGTGAATTCAAGAAGCTCTCCCTTTGGCCAACTTTTATCTGCTGGCTGGGCAGTTGTTAGTTGTTCTTTGGCCACGTTGGCATTTAAGTTTTCTCTCCACTGGCAGACTAGTTGGGGTATTAATAAAAATAGTTATGCTCTTGATTAGTTTTTTAATTATTTCCTATATTATTAAGTAAGTTTAGAGGTAGAAAGGTTTTTTAATAATAAATTGAATCCGGTTCTTTGCTTTTGTTGCTTATATGGTACTAAAGTTAATATAGCCATTTTTCTGTCTGTGTGATTAGCCTGGGCTCGGCTAGGGGCAGCTAATTAGAAAAAGAGGGTCCTCATAGAGAGGACATGCAGGGAGGATATCCTGCACATTATGCTTTCTGTTTACCTCCTGTGAAAAGGAGACACAAACAACAAATGAAGGTGGTTTGCAGCTCGCATAATCAAGGGCGGCGGGAGGGCGAATAAGGCAAACACGGAAACAACTTGTTGCAACTACAAGCGAACAAAGTGTGTACATACATACAAACAAGCACATGAGTGTTCGAGGACACAGGTCCTGCCGAGAGATGGGGGCACTGGGTGCGGAAGTGGGCTGGAAGGGAGAAAGGACGCTCGTTGCTCGGATTATAAATAATTTATATTGTTTGCCGAACAGGTAAAGAGTTTCCACTCGGCCCCAGATATTTGCTCAAGTCCTTCGAGGGCCAAACGAGTTGGAATTCGAGAGGGAACTTCGATTTTATCAGCATAAAAGGACCTTTGACCTTGTTGAGCAATCAACTGCTAACCGAAATCCAATTAGAATGCACATTTTTATGGGTCTGAATCCAACGGACCCGCAGGAATAGTGTCCATTACAGAAATCGCTTTTTACATATTGTAAACATCACAAAGCACAATTGTTGCCCGCACAAAGGATTCGCTCGCTTGGCACGCACACATGGAAACGCGTGAAAACAATGCCGGGAAAACAAACAAATGTCGAATATGGAAGTAGGGCGAGGAGAGGCTGGTTACCATGAAACCTATGAGAAAAGGAGAGGGTATATCGCACGCTGTGATAATTGAAATTCTGTCGCGCACAGCGAACGAACGATGCCGTTTCCGCTAAGCGCCGGCAACCAGAAATGGGCACGGGCAGGGCCCCACCTCACCTCCAGCTCCACATCCGGTGATGGCACCTCCTCCACTTCCAGTCGCGGAACCAAATCAAACTCGAGGACAACGCACGCCCCACTATCCAGGAACAATGTAACTGAGTGGCGACAGGAACAACAGAAGCTGCGAACAGCCCAAATGGGGAAGCCTTTCATTTGGCAACTTTACAGGCTGAGTGACTTCCCGTCCCTCCTGGCTATTTCTAGTCCTGTCTCTGGGGCGATAACGCCCTCCATTGTTTCGTCCAAAGTGTCATAATTGTTTTTGTTTGCACTCTCCATTTATTTAAAGTGCCGTTCCGTGAGGTCTTTGTTTCTAATACGAGCCTCTATAGAGGGGAGTAAAAGGATACTGCTTCCTTTTCACCTAGAGGGAGTTTTCCTTGGCCTTGAGTTCTGTACTTGAAGCAAAAATATTAAATACAAAAATATAATCAATTTCTGTTTAAATGTTGAAAAGTTGTTTGGGATACATTCAATGATTAATGAATATACTTTGTGTATATTCTGCATGGTAATTGACCCAAATATCATATTATAATTCTATAATTTTTGTTTAATTAATTGCATGATTAATTAAAACAGATATAGGACACATTATAGAACTAAATATCGTATCAAAAACCACCAAGTTCGTATAGAAACCGGTCTCCATCCCTGGCAATTTATCAGCTGTTTACCGGCAAGCTATATGTTCTTATTCTTCCAATTCGATTTGTTAAAATTGTTAACTTAAATATGCAACGATTTGTAAAAGTATTTGGTCAGCAAACATGCAAGGTAATCGGCATGATACACGTGGATGCCCTGCCAGGTAAGAGAACGAGCGCAAAGTAAAGGAAAGCTTTTAACCTGGTGGAGTCACTACATCATCAGGAACACCACGATACACCGGCAACTGGAAGCAGACGATTGAGAAAGCCATATACGAGGCGAATCTCTACAAGAAACATCAACTGGTAGGATATAGAGATACTCAGCTTTCCATAAGTTCCAATATATTCTTCGCAGGATGCCGTTCTCATAGAGAATATGCACGATATTCCCTACATACCGGAGCGTCTTCTGGGACCCGAGATAGTGGCCTGCATGACACGTCTGGGACAGGCAGTACGGGAGATAATACCCAAGGAGACTCCCTGTGGCGTTCAGGTCCTTGCCTGTGGCAATAAGCACGCTTTGGCCATAGCCAAGGCAAGCCAGTTGCAGTTCATTCGCAGCGAGGGATTTGTCTTCAGTCATGTGGCGGATGAGGGCTTCACCGACGCCTGTGCGGGCGACTTGCTGCGCTACCGCAAGCTAATCGATGCCGAAGATGTGCTAATTTTTACGGATCTCAAAAAGAAACACAGCTCACATGCCATAACTGCCGATGTCACCCTCCTGGAAACCGCCCATGCAGCAGAGTTCTTCCTCACCGATGGCATTATCATCACAGGAACAGCCACGGGACATGCAGCCAGTCCCGAAGATCTCAAACAGCTATCCGGTCGGGTTAAGGTTCCCCTGCTAATCGGTTCTGGGGTAACCAAGGATAACATTGACAGTTATTACAAGGATGCACAGGCCGTCATAATAGGGTCGCATTTCAAGCGGAATGGCAGCTGGTTGGAGGAGATCAGCGAGCAGGCAGTCCAGGATTTCATGCGCCAGATCCACGAGCTGCGTCAAGGGTCCAAGTAATGGGAATTGTAAATTTGTTTATTATATTTGTAAATGATGTAAATAATCGGGGATGTAAATGAAAAATGTATACGACGTATGAAGTCTTAAGTCGTCTAATTCTAGAATAGATTGGCAAAGAAATCATAGATACGCCCACGCAATGAAACGGGCTTGGGTGTTGCCTCGTTACCTCCATCGTTGCTTGGAAATGCAAAGGGTTTCTGGTCCACGGCCAGAGACACTGCATCCAAAGTGTCGTCAAACTTAACCCTTTTTTTCTGTGGCGGTGAGCAAATCTCCTCCTGGTTCCTCATGCCAAAATGAACCGGAAACATATGCTCCCCGTTAAATAGGTCCTCGCGTTTTACCACTGTGGGTATGGTATTGTCAACATTGTGAGTCCTAAAGTATGACTTCGAGTCCGAGTAGCGACTGGCGAAGCCGTAGCTGGGATCGTGATCGCTGTTGGTGGTCGGTACATTGCTGCGCTTAAGAATGCCTCGGACATTGGCCACCTTGTCGCCGGTGGCAATATTTTTGAATAGCTTGGAAATGCGATTTTCCTTAGAAGTAGCTTCACCTGATCCTCCCGGTGGATGGCGCAACTGAACCGACGAAGGAGGCGGTGGCGGTGCTGGTGGGGCCAAACGTTTTACAGACCCGGAAGTTGTGGGGTTTCCGCTAATATGTCTTGCATTTGGAGTCCGGGAGATGACCGAGGGAACCTTTCGCTTGCGCGGAAAACAAGCACTATCATCGGTCTCCTCCTCGGAGTCCGTGCTGCGGTTTTTGTTACGGAAAACGGTCTCATATTCACATTTGCGTTTGTTGGGACTCAGCACATAATCGGCTCCGAATTTCTTCATATCCTTCTTGCGGATGGGCGTCCTCTTGCTCGAGTCCTTGCGCAACGTCTTGCGACACTGGACGTGAAGATCGATGGCGTCGCGGATAAATCCGACCCATGTGCGAGCCAACTGCACATCGCCGGTGCCAAAGATGATGCCATCGCTCTGGCATGTCAGCTTGAAGTTGCCCGGCAGCATTTCGTACACCTTGCACTTCTTCAGTGGAAAAATGCAGCAGCACTCGAGAGAGTTTTCCACAGCGGTGTGCGGGGCACGGTCCTTGACCATCTTGCAGTACATGAAGATGTCTGACATGAGCACGCAGTAGCGTTTTATCTCCGTACCTTTATGCGTGATCTTCTGGAGGATGCCCTCCTTGATGACACGGCGCGAAGGCTTCACAATGTTGGGCGTGCGGTTGACCAGGGAGTTCTGCAAGTGAATCAGATACTGGGTGATCTCCTGCTCCTCCACACAGGTGTTGATGTGAGATGCGGTGGCCTCGATTTCCTTGACGGATTCTGTAACGAAAACCGTATTAATTGGATACTTAACTAACCTTCAATTCTAGATCCTACCCTTTAGCAGCTTATAGTCCGCATCTGCAGGGCTCGTGTAGAGCAACACCTGCTCCAGTAGAAGCTTATATCTCGGCACCCGCTGAATGGGAACGATCATCAACGAGTTCAGCTTGCGCTGCACCTCGGGACGACTCTCGGTCTTCTCCAGAAACTTTCGGAACACCGGATTCTTGCTTATCAGATCCTGAATGAGGAACAGCGCACCGCGATAGTCAAAGGCGTACACCGAGTACAGCTTGAAAAACGGAGCCATCTTCAGGAAAGCCTGCGCCACATTTTCCATGTTCGCCTCCAGCTCGCGCAAAAACTCTCCGTTCAAATTGTGGATCATCTCGATCTGGCCAAAGAGCAGCGTGTGATTGGAGCCATCGATTATGGCTTGCTCTTTGAGCGGACGCACAAAGTAGTTCATAAGCAACTCCAGTTGCTCCAGATAGGACTTCTCCGACGAGATGATCTCCAGGATGGCCTGCCGACGGAAGCCCAAACGCTTGCCTGACTCCGGATTGGGAGAGCCGATGGGACTGCTATTATTGCTGTCCAGCATGGAGCAGACTGCAAAACAAGGGAAATGAGCAACTAGAATGTAATGCACACCTGGGGACGCTTGTTGTCTCACCTTTCCTGCGTGACTTTGCAGTGAGCAGATTCCTCTCCTGCAGCACTTGGCGCAGCTCCCGGCTGAAGCTGAGCGGCGTATGCGGTGAAGGGGCAAAGCCATGACCAAATCCTTTCTGCCTGGGCGTAAACATTTCCACTTTAATTTCTACGCTAAGAGAAAGAAAAGGAAAACGACGCCGCACCTGTCTTTTTAAACTATGCCCGCTTCTACAGTGTGACCGCCGATTGGCCTTGGAAACATACCACTGGCAAACCGTGCATCCCTAGTCACTTGCTTCTCAGCGTTGGTCACACTATCCCATTTATTTATTTTTTTATACGTGGTTCGTGGTCCAATTTAGATTTAATTTTAAATGTTTTCTAGCCTTAAAATGCATGCAAAGCTAAGCGAGATGGAGTCGCGCATTGTGGCGCGACTGAACGCAGAGATCGGCAAGGACCAGATGCACCGGGCCAAACACGTAGCCAGTCACTACAGGGAGAGGCTCCAAGCCTTGTATCAGACAGTGAGAAGCAATCGCTTACCATTTACATGTTTTTAATAAGAAATACTTTGCCAGCTCGACTACGAAGATGCCCAGAATGTTTCCTGCTACAAATCTGCCTTCCAGTGCCAGCAACAGGTCTGTGAGAGCCTCGATTTTGAAATGGAGAAGATAGCGCAGTTCGGTGAGAAGCTGAAGATGAAACTGAAGGAGTGCCAACCGGCACTGGACGGAGTTGCTAAGGATCTCGAACAAGTTCGGCAGCTGCAGCGTATAACACAGTACTTGCGCTTGGTTCAGGATATCCAGGAAATCAGCGCTGCCTTGGGCAATGCCATCAATGGCAAGGACGAAGCCAAATTGGTCAATATCTACCTAACACTGTACGAGGGAAACGACTGCGAACACAGTGTGGTGGGGCGTCTCCATGCCGTGCAAGCGTCATCACTGAAGTCCTTTGCCGAACGCACTGCCATCTACTGGCACAAGCAGCTGATGAAGCGCCTGTCCATCGAATTCGAGGCTGTGCTGAAGAGTATGCGCTGGGCGCACTTGGAACAGCAGGCCCTCAACTACTCGCCAACACGGGACACTATTAAGGCCCAATTGCTGGCCGAATACATGTTCCTTATCAAATCTCCAGCGGAAGAACATGCGCCTCTCGTAAGCATCACTCCCAGCATTGTGTGTCCGCCCATCAACCAGGTGGTGCAGCTTTTGCTGGCTCCGTACCGCCAGCGCTTCACATTTCACTTCACGGGCACCCGGCAAACGAACCGGCTGGACAAGCCCGAGTGGTTTTACACACAGATCCTCAACTGGGGCAAGGAGACACATTTCTTCGTGGGCGAAACATTCCAGCCATCGGCAATGAAGGCGGGCAAGCTGGACTATAATCTCAGGGTAAGGTACTTATTGTCCGACCATTAAAAAAGCTCATCTTAATTCCTTAAAGCTGGAGTTCATGCGAGGACTGGTGCAGTTAGTCATTGAGAAGCTGGCCGTGGACATTGAACAGATTGCCCAGGACGAGATTCTCTTCGCCCATCTAATCGACGAGACCCTGGCCTTTGAGTCTGAGCTGCGCGAGACGTTCGGCTATCCGGCAAGCTTCCCCAGCGCCATTTCCGTAATCACACAGCCGATGTATTTGCTGCGGTGGATTTCCCTAGAAGAGCGATGTGAGATAAGGTGTCACTGCCCCTTTGCCCTGTTATTTAATATTAATTTTGCCTAGTCTGCGCGGAAAAAATGGATTACATACTGCAGGCGGAGGCGCCGTTCCTGCTAATTGACCCCAACACATTCGAGGACGATTTGAAGATACCACGCTGTGCGGATCAGTTTATGCGACTGCTGGACGCCATTAAAGATCGGTACTATGGCTTGGTTCAGCCGGGCCACCAATTGCAGTTCCTGCAGTTGCAGCTGGAGCTAATCGATAGCTTCCGCAGACGCCTGGTGCAGCTACACAGCAGTGGAGCCGTGCGTAGTATTCCCGTGCTGAACGCCATCAACTACCTGATGATGGTGCTGCGCGAGTGGGGCGAGAACGTGCACTATCTACATCTGCATTCGGCGCTCGCCGGCCCCAATGCGTCCGAGATCAATTCTGTGTTTGAGCATGCTGTCACCGAACTGGAACACTGGGCCAGGCAGCTAACGAGAGATCTAGCCACAAAGGCCACCAACGAGATGAAGGCAAAGTCGATGAGCTACCGAAGGGATGTGTGGCCAACAATGCCGGAGCAGAATAGCCGGGAGCCGTTCATCCTGTCGCCCAGCGGCGGCGAAATGTTTCAGGTGCTGGTCACCCTGCTACACAATCTGGAGAGCGAACTCTCTGCCAATCTGTTCAACCAAACGCTGCGCTTGATGGCTCATCAAATCGATGACTTCATGATCGACAGCATGGTCATGAACACGAAGTTTTCGCCTGCGGGAGCAGCGCAATTCAATTACGACATGACGCGCAACTTATTCGCACTCTTTGGCCAGTATACTCGTCGACCGGAGCTGCTCTTTAAGCGGTGAGTCATCCCAAAATATGCCACTTGTGCAATAAACATAAATCTGACACCTTTCCAATTCGATTCACCAGAATACACGATGCCAGCAAGCTGTTGACGGCTGCTCGTGGTACGGCTTTGTTGCTGCTGGAAACGCTACGCAGTAGCCAGTCGGCGGAGGAGAAAATGAATCCACTACGGGAACTGAAGGTGCTCAGTTTGGACAGCAGACAGTGCATTGAGGTTTTAGAACGGCGAACGGACATTAAAATGTTTTAAAACAATGGAGAAAACTGCAGCGTAGATTATTGTTTTTCTTTAGGAGTTTTAAAATTTTGTATATTTATACGCAAGAGCTTTTGCTATAATTAACAATTGACACTGAGGTTATGGCGGAAATAAACCTGTAAATATGAGTTTTTCCTCCCTTAAATCAAATGCCAACATATCACTCTTTTAATTAATATTAGTTATTCTATGTGGAAGTATTGTGTTAAACTGTATTTTACATAATTTTTATTTGCAAGTAAGGCTTGTTTATAAACATAGTAATCAAGACGGATTAATTAACTAATTTCAATTACACCAGGACATAGTTTTGTACTCGTGTAAATGCTAGTAACTGCCACGAATGAGAGATATATGTTCGAGTAACACATACTATATACATATACAATTAAATCCCGAATTTCCGCCCTGGGCGTTCAAGTCTTGAATGAGTTCTGGTTGTGTTTCGTAGGATTATGGATGTTTAGTTTAATTTGTAAAACGTTGACACGAAAATATGCATTAACTGTTGTAATAATAATAAATTGATCTAAAAATACATAGCGTAAAATAGCATATAAACCGCCCTAACAACGCTCTCGAACAGCGGCGATTCATGCTGCTGATTCCAGACCGATCGGGGCGTATTGTACACTTTCCCCATTCCCTCGCTGACCAAAAAACAATTGCAGTTATTAAATACCAATTTGCGACTTGAGACGCACATCACACTTCAGCATCACATCGTCGTGGATCAGGATCAAGGGTGCACAGCCCGCAGAGAACAACTTTATGCCTACACTAAATAAGCGCTAATGATCCGATAATCTGCGGGTAATGCTCACTCACTCCCTAATCGATCCGTCCTTTGTCCCCTCAGTATGTCTATTCAAAGTTCTGATAATTCTCGGCGCTGACGAACTGCGCCCGCTGCTGGGGAGTCATGTTGAGATTACCGCGATTCTTGTTGTTGTAGGCCCAGATGATGCCGGTGGAGATCAGGGCAATGGTCAGCCAGCCCATGAAGAAGAGTTGCACCCACATATGTTCGCCGTTGCTGTGATCCACGATGAGGCCAGCTAGAATGGTGATGACGGCCAGGCCGAGATTCTGGATGGACTGACAGAAGCCGTAGGCAGTGCCCAACTGATACTCAGGAATGATGAGGGCCACCAGGGGCCACAGGCTGGCAGCCAGCATGGAATACGAGAGTCCCATCACTACCATACCCAGATACGGCGTCAGCTGTGTGAACGTCAGCAGGGCATGGGCTCCGATAGTGGTGAGGGTGGCGGTGAACACCCAGGTCACGTTCCTTCCTACCTTGTCGATGATGAAACCGAACACGGGACTGGATACCGCGGCAATCAAATACACCAGCGAGTCCACGGTGTTAGCCTCCGCGGGAGTGTAGCCGAAACGATCGACAAAGAACTTCTGTCCCAAGGCAATGAACGGGAAGATGGCCACGTAGTAGGCCACGCAAATGATGGAGACCATCCAGAAGGGTGGCTTGAAAGTAAAGATATCCGTCAGCTTGGGAATCTGACCGGAGGGGTTGTTGTTCCGCTGCAGAATCCGTTCCGCCCGCTTGTCCATCCAGCCGAGAATGAGGGCGCAGATCAGCGACATCACGCACGTGAGGGTGGCCAGCAGCAGAACGACGCCCAGGGCCTGGTGTCCCTTGTAGAAATTGCTGACGTAGTCGTAGATGGGCTGCATCACCCAGAAGTTGACAGTGCTGCCGAAACGGGCCACCGATAGCTGCAGGCCGAAGACCATGTTCAGCTCCTTGCCCTTGAACCAGAGCACTGCATAGCTGTTCTGGGCCACCGCTAGCGACTCGGCGCCGATGCCAAAGATGAATCGTCCCAGGATCATCAGCCAAAAGGCGTTCAGGATGCCGCCGCTGGCGAAGAGCAGCTGTCCCACCAGCAGGATCATCATGTAGATAATTGTGCCCAGGCGAATGCCAAACAGCCGATCGATCAGGAAACCGCCCACGAAGCACAGAATCACATTGGGCCACGAATAGATCGAGTAGATGAGCGTAAACTGTGTTGATGTTAGGTCCAAGTCCTTCTTGAAGACATTCTGCAGGGCCCCAGGATTGTCGTAGCAGAAGTACGATCCAAATCCGAGTAGGCACATGAACACCAGGGCCATGAACCGATGGCTGGTGCTCGAGGGCATGCAGCAGCCGCCGGAGGGCAGAGCCAGCTCATTGTCTTCCCGATTGCCTCGCCCGGGACTATCCTCCTCCACCGCGTTCGACACCTCCTCGTTGTCCACAATACGTTGCTCGTCCTCGCGCGCCATCGTTACCACCGTATGAATCGCTGGCTCACGTAGTACTGACCAGCGACTGGAACCGCAGATTGGATGGGCGTATCAGAGTTTGTGCGATTTATCGGGTTTCGTTCGTTTGTTATTAATTTCTTTTTCCTTTTTAGCTTTATATTTCCTGCGATGCACTTGTTTTTCGTTTTATTTTTCGCCGTTTCTGCAAAATAATTGTATCAGTTGTGCGAGGGTGTGAGTGTGCGATGAACTCTTCTGCTTTCTGCTTTGTCTGCTTCTCTTATCTCGCTGCTTTAGTTTTTGTTTTTCTTTACTGTACTATTAAACCTTTGTCTAACGCTTTTGTTGTTGCTTGCGTAGGTTACAGCAGCTTCGTCGTTATCACTTTTCACACTCCACTTACAAGTCCGAGTTCACTATGCCAATATATGCACGGTGATTGCTGCGAGCGCCCGCACTTTACTGTTGCTCAAAATGAATTAATATTGTTTCGATCCGTACTAATTATCGTTAATTACGCATATATACATCAGCGGTGCTGCCAACTGGTTTTGCTGGGGCAAACTGGCAGTCCCAGTGTGGCCAGCTTCTTTTTTCTCTGAACGGAAAATTTGGTGGTCACACTGGACTTTGTTTACATTCTTCGCCTGTTGGAATTATTTATAATAACTATTATTAATTACAATGGTTTGCGCTCTAGGCATTGAAGGAAGTGCCAATAAGATAGGCATAGGCATTATTAAAGACGGCGAAGTACTGGCCAATGTCAGGAGAACCTACATTACGCCACCAGGAGAAGGTATATAAACTATAGACACCGGCTTTTCGAAGGATTCATTAAGTCTAACCGCATGCAACAGGTTTTCTGCCCAAGGAGACGGCCAAGCATCATCGTGAGGCTATCCTTGGCTTGGTCAAGGCTAGTCTGAAGGAGGCGCAACTGAAACCTGCCGATCTAGATGTCATTTGCTACACCAAAGGGCCAGGAATGGCTCCTCCACTGCTGGTCGGCGCTATTGTGGCCCGCACGTTGTCCCTCCTGTGGGAGAAGCCGCTGCTCGGCGTAAACCACTGCATCGGCCACATCGAAATGGGACGCCTGATCACCGGCGCCCAGAATCCCATCGTTCTTTATGTAAGCGGCGGCAACACACAGGTGATTGCCTACTCCAATAAGCGATATCGGATCTTTGGGGAGACCATCGACATTGCCGTGGGCAACTGTCTGGACCGATTTGCACGTATTATCAAGCTGTCTAATGATCCCAGTCCGGGCTACAACATCGAGCAGCTGGCCAAGCAGAGCAGTCGCTACATCAAACTGCCTTATGTGGTCAAGGGCATGGATGTGAGTTTCTCAGGTATTCTTTCCTACATCGAGGACCTGGCTGAGCCAGGACGGAGGCAGAATAAACGGAAGAAGCAGCAGGAAGCAGAAGTCACAGACTACAGTCAAGCGGATCTGTGCTATTCCCTGCAGGAGACCATCTTTGCCATGCTGGTGGAAATCACAGAGCGCGCTATGGCACACTGCGGTTCCAATGAGGTGAGTCCTCAATTTTCCATCTTACGTACTTGCTAACTGTCTTTTCAGGTCCTCATTGTAGGCGGCGTGGGCTGCAACGAGCGACTCCAGGAGATGATGCGTATTATGTGCGAGGAACGGGGTGGAAAGCTCTTCGCCACCGATGAGCGCTACTGCATTGACAATGGATTAATGATTGCGCATGCCGGTGCGGAAATGTTTCGTTCTGGCACCAGGATGCCCCTCGAAGACGCCTTTGTCACACAGCGATTCCGCACGGACGAAGTCTTGGTCAGTTGGCGGGAGGACTAATCGCATGTGCAGCGTGCTTTGTTTGTTTATTAAATAACTAATTTCGATAATTTTTTCGGAGATGTGTATAGTGTATGTGTGTGTAGTATTTGGTGAAATTATCCTTATTTACAGGGCCTGCTCCTTGCCCGTCCATTGAGGCTTCAAGTCCAAGGGAAAGATGCGCTTTCCCTCGATAACATAGACAGCTCCATTCTTATCCTTCTCCAGGACATTCAGAATACAGCGAGAGACATCAGCTGCGCTCTGCTTGTTCAGCCTGTCCAGGATCCTGTAGGTCTCGTCACTCGTCTCCGGAAAGATGATCTTCTCCGTAAAGTTGGTGAACATGTCCGTCATCGTAGCTCCAGGGCAGACAGTCACAAACCTGATACCCGAGCGTTGATAGAACTTCTCATTCTAAGGATTGCATTAAAAGAGATTTAGCATTCGGAAGGCTACAGATCTTGGAGATTCTTCTTACCGCCAGGCACCTAGTAAAGTTGATGATGCCCGCCTTGGTGGCCCCGTAAATAGGAATGATGAACATCGGATCCAATCCCACCACCGAGCTCATGTTGACTATTATGCCACCTTTGCCGCCATTGGCCTTGTCCATGTAGGGTAAGGCACTTAGAGTGGAGTTAATGATCCCACCCAGGTTCACCAGGAGAGTCCTCTGCACATCCTTGTCATTGAAGATGCCCGCAACGTTTACCACAATGTCGATGTTACCGAAGGTCTTGGCTATCTCCTCGTAGGTGGCCTCGACTCCCTTCTTATTCGCCACGTCCATCTTGACGATCATCACGCTCTGCGTGGGATGAGCAGCACGTAGTTTAACAAACTCCTCCAGGTTGTCCTGCAAATCGATGATGGCCACCTTCTGGGATACAAATTGGTTAGGAAATGCCACTCTATAAACTCCATATGTTACCCACCGCTGCTCCGGCAGCCAGAAGCTGCTTAGACACCTGCAGACCGATGCCTCCAGCTCCGCCGGTAACCACCGCATTCTTGCCACGAAAGGACATCTTGCTCTGGCTGGTATTCTTGGTAGACGGTGATATTCCTTGCGGGTTCATCAAGCTTGGAGCTTGCTAGTTGCACTGCTAACTTGGACAGGCAGCGATCGGCGTTTTTATAGCGATTTTTCCGGGGATATATGATATATCTTAGAGTGACTTTGGCACGACTGCAATCAATAGCCAGTTTTCCACTTGCTCTGGGTTAGGATTATGCAAACTCAGGCCGCCGCCATATCGATTTCGATCGTCATCTCTGGTCGCTCTAGCGTTCAGTCCGCTTCACACCGCTCTGGTTTTCGCGATGTCAGCTTTGCATCAGTGATAATGACAGAATAAACCAATGATCTCTTAATATCGACCTTCCTCCTCCCTTTTCTTTATATTATAACTATTTACACAATTTATAATCTCCTATTTATGTAAATGTGTTTCTTTATTTATTCAAGCGAAAATCTTATGAGAACATAACATATTCTTTTATGTATGTCGTATATCTTTGGTTTCCATATTTGATAATTAAGTTTCTTTCACAAATTTGAATATTAAAAATGTACTTCTTATTCTTACATCTAACAAACATGGATTTAAAGACCATGAAATTTATATAAATTTGATTTGGATTTGCTTTTGAACTCTTTTGGGCCGCGTTAGTGGTTTACGTTTTGAATGAGAACAGAAGGAAACCATAAAAACAGAACTCAAAAATTATAATCAAAATATCTCAATTTATTTGTAAGCACTTAAATTATCACAAACTTATATTATGTACACAAATTAATTACGATAAATAATTGCAGCTACCAGTAGAAATGGAAAACATAAACTAGAGAAACACAAAAGTTAAGGAAAAGTAAGAGAGAGTGAGAGTGATATTAAGAGGGGGTGGGCGGTTGCAAAAATTTGTGGGTGATTCCCCTTTTAGTGTCCAGCATCGTAGGTGTCCTTGTGCTGGTAGCCACTCACATAGCCAGAGTCATCGACCAGGTTGCGCCTGCCGGCAATGCCCTTGCCCTTGCCGGTGGCATCGAAGCGCTCCTTATGGGAGCCGGTGTACTTGCTCGTATCCGTCAGCCGATCCACTGCAGCTGCCGCCTTGCCAGCCTGGATATAGAAATTACAGTTTACTAAAGAGCATCTATATAGAAATATTTGCTTAAACCCACCGAAACAGAGGCCACTCCGGGAGCCCCACAACCGGCCAGCTTCTGCTTGATCTCCGACAGCTCCACCTTTTTCGTCTTGGCCAGATCGTCCAGGAATTTGTTGTAGTCCCCAATCGAGATCTTCATGGCCTTGAACTTCTTGAAGTGTATGCCCGTATCCGTGGTGGTGATCTTCTTATCAATCACCTTGGCCTGCTTCATCCACTTGTCGCTCTGCGAGAGCGTAATCAGCTTGCCATCGGATTTGGTGTCCCCGAACTTGGAGAAGGCCTTGAACTGGTCCGAAAAGCTGACCTTGGGCGCCGCCTCATCCTCCAGAGCCAATTGGGCCAACTCTGCCGCCGGGGCCTCGGGAGCGGGAGAGGGACTTCCATTTGCAGCTGCTGCCTCGGACATGGTGGCTCTGTAAGGGAATAAGGCAAGATTATTAATAAATTATATTACGAATATATTGATTTTCTATATTCAAAGCTTGTTTAAATTTATTTGTATTAATATTTTAGAAAATCAACATCATCCATTTATTTAAAGAACTAAAAAGTTGATTCCCTTTCAGGGTATTATAATTTTAGTCAGAAGCTTTAAAAGTAGTGAAGGTGTCATTTCCGACGCTATAAGTGATATATATTCTTGATCAGCATCAATAGGCGAATCCATTTAGCAGTGTCCTGTTGAAAATACAATTTTTGAAATTTTATCGATTTTTTTTTCAAGAAAATTAAGAAGATACATCGTAAAAAATTGATAAAAATTTTAGTTTTCTTAAAGGTTAAATTTAGTATGCAGATTTATTATCCTAATAAAAACTAAGACAGGACAGCTTTCCGAATGAAAATTAATGCTTTTTTGACTTAGTTATGGACTTTTAAAACATTGATTATTCTACAAAATTGTCATATAAAAATATAGTTTCTAAATATGAGAAAATTTTAAGCTTAGTTATGATCGATTTCGGATACAATCTTATAATTCAATTGCAAACTGAAAGGGTATATCAACTTTATTTTCCTGAAGTTATATTCTTTTCTTGTTATTACCACATTGTATTCAAACAAAACGTTTTTCAAGTAGAGTGGGAGTCATTAATGGTTGATGATATGTGTAGCCTGATAGGTCAGTTCATTTTATTGTTTTTCTTGGCTGGCACGCAACTTTTCCTTTCCGCGTAATCGGCTTGGAAAATTACCCGTATCTACGCAGTTTTCTCACCTGTGGGCCACCACGCTGACCAACATTATTGCGGTGGGTCTTGTACGTCTTCGTTGACTAACGAGGCTATGTATATTCTCATGCGTATCTTAACTTGAGGCTTATCTGTGTGTTTTATTCAGTTTCCTATCTGAACGATATGGCGATACTGGGGGTACTGGACAAGAACAAAGCTTATAACCCAAAGCTCTCTCAGCTGATGCCGGGGAGAGGAGGAAAAACAAATTGCGAAATTGGGAGAGATCCAATAATGAAATGGCGTCATCTGATGGCTTCCATACCCCATACCTGCCTCTAACGACGCTAATTATCGCATTTGTGTGATGTCCAAATAAACAAAAATAAATAGCCAACGGGTTTGCCTCATCGAGGTTTCTTAAAGAGGGTCTCAAAACTTAGCGGTGGCTTTGTAGATCTATTATGATCAAACAGTTACCAAAGGTCTAAGTTATATGGTAAATATATACCAACAGTTACGATAGCAGTATAATTTAATCTAAATATATATTTTATTTATAATTTATCGTTGAATGTATGTATTTTAAGTGTAAATAAAACTTAACATCAAGCATTACCCCATCCAGGCCTCAAGCATACCTCACTTAATTTGTTTGCCCATCGAACGTGGCATAAATTTGGATGATAATTTAGTTTTAAAATTGCTTGTAGCATAAATTGTCGTCGTGTTTACAGGCTACCCAACACGAAGTTGTGGAAATGTATGGCCGGGCAGTCGAATCCTCCCATAAACAGTAAATAAAACGTGAGCATTTATTGGCGGGGCCATTAATTACGTACCACTTAAGGTTGGTGGCTGGAGCCCCAGGAGATCTGGACCTGGAAGCTGGAAGCTGTTTGGGGAACCATTTAAGGCACCGATAAGATGAGGTTCCAACCAGTTCGAGTTCGGGGTAAGATGCTGTGGCTTGTGCCGGGACAGATGTTAACAAATCGGTGGTATCCTTAGGCCGAAGGTCATGGCTGAGCGAACTTGCATGACCTTGATGCAGTCCGTCGAGCATGTCACTCCCACTCATTCCCAACCCGAATCAAATAGTATATGTATGTGTGTTCGTCAGCGAATCTAGCTGCTTATGTCATCGCCTCATTACGCCCCATTCTCCGATTACGCTGCTCTGGGATCAGCTTTGGGGTGAGGCAATTTCATAGACCATATTCCGTCGAATCTCTTTCATTGGAGTGGATAATTGAGAGCATTGAATGCATCATCGCAAAGACCCTTAATCGTTAATCATCTTCGGGGGTCTCAAGTCTGAGGGGTTATTGAACTTGAACTCCACTGGAGCCGAAACAAATTGCTGAACACGTCCCCGGAGAAGACTAATGAAACCCTTTACTCCGCCTTTACTTGTAATTGGAACCCATAAATACTGAGAAACAAGAAAAGTTGACAAACTACAAGACACAAAAGAAGTTGAAATATGAAAGAAGAGTTTTAAAAAAGAGACGGAATGGAAGCAAGACGAAGTTAGGAGTTCTCTATAAAGGTGAATTTTTAATAATATTGGAATATATTAAAATATATTATAAGAACTGCTAATTTAATAATTTAAATGTAGTCATATTAGCCATTTAGGACTTCATATCCGTTGGCAAACTTGTCGCAATTTAAAAGGGAAACACTCAACTTATGATCTTGGGAAGATAACACAGTCAAACCGGAAGTATTGATCATGTTTGGCATACCGGCTATTTAATATACACACTATATATATTATATTTTAAATATGCTTCCCTCTGATTTAACCATCTGAAAGTCATGTTGTTTGCCACAAACATGACCGCCGGGTCCCAGAAAGCGAGGCAATGTGATGGGGAACGTGGATAGTCTAAATCAGAAATAATCCGCTTTGACTGTCAGACCATAAATAATTCGTTTCTCCTCATATATATATTTTTCCCCCATCTTCGTTTTGGATTCTTTGCCTGAATTTCTGATCTGGGAACGAGTTTTCATCCAGTCGAGCATTGCGAATTCGTAGCCAACATTTTAATTAGTTTTTAACCGAAATGGTAAAAGTTAATTGGGAATATATTTATGGTCAACATTTGAATGGGAATGCAAATAGCTTATAGATAGCCACATATAGAAAACAATAAGCTTCCTGGAGGAGGGGGACACAATTATTAACCCAACCTACCTCAAGTGGACTGGCGGAGAACAAATGAATGGAGGGATATTTAGGTCATCTTGTTGTATATTTATAACTACAGAAAACATGAATAACTGCACCAGATATGGTTGTATATATCCCTCTCTTGTGTGTGTATATATAAACATTCTGAAATATAAGTTCTACGGTCTAAATGCATAAATTAATTTTGTTTTCGGGCGCGAAACAGGAAACTAAGGGGATTCTCACACACAACACGCAACGCAATAGAGAAATCATTGACTTAGGGGGCCTATGCTCTGGACATTCTACATAATATATGTATATGTACGATGCTATATATACATACATCATCACTAGCCCAGATGACATCACTTGGGAGCTGGGAAACGCGCAAGCGCCGGTTGGGAGAAGGGGTTTCTCTGGGGGGGTTTTTTGGGGCTTGAAATTCAGACCGATGACACACGCATATATACACACGGAAGCGGGGAAACTGCGCCTAAAACAATGCCAGGATAAAGCCTTCATCTGCAGCAGGAACACAAAAAAAGGGAACGCGATTGGGTGGCATTAGAATTGGGTCAGAATCGCGCTCTTGAAATCAAGCACAGCTTCCCTTTTCTAGGGTGAAAATAATAAAGCTCACTTTGGAGGCTGCTCAAGGGTCCAGGATACACATAGAACTTTGCTTACTTCTTTTGTTTTATTCTAATACGCTTCACCAACTTACATTTATTTCGAAAAAAGCTTGAAAATTCCTGATTAAATTTCCAAAAAAATTATCTCTGCTATTCCTTGGATGTTTTCCAAAATATTTGACTTGAAGGCAAACGCGCGAATGCTGTCGATGTCGAAACTCAACTGTTTGGGCAAATGCGCAGCCATCAGCTAGCAAAGGCCCAAGCGGCGTATGAGTGATATTTTTGTTTTCGAGTGAGCTTTCGTTGAGTGAAAACGAAATGAAAATGCTACACATCCTCAATGGAATTTTATCAAAACAAATGACAAGCAAATCAGATAGCTGCCAAACATACCTAAATAAAACATTTCGCCGACTTTCTGAATGAGATAAAGAAAGAAAGAGATTTGGGCATTCCGTGTGTATATACTGACCCCTATATTTTTATTCCAGCGATGACTTCATTTCGCAAAAAAACAAATACATTGTATAAACCGAAACTAACAACGAAAGCCACACGACGAAGCCATTTATCAAACGGAACGAAAAAAAAGAGACGTAGAGCCCAAAAAGAACTCAGAATAACAAAAGTGACGCGGGTCTTATCAAAACCAACAAGTTCCACTCGAACCCAGGGTTTGTTGTGAGTGAAAATGTGAAAATAAAGCTTAAAGCTTTAGGCATATAGTTCAGGTGGGAGGTAGGGGGTTAGGCCATATAAACTCAGCTAGTAAAACAGTCAATTTTTACGTGTCTGAATGCGTGAAATTTCTGACAACAAAACACGCACAACAAGTGACAGACAACAATTGTTATAATGAGGGGGGTCTTTCGGGGTGTGACTTACTAGGAGGCGGTCCTATTAACTACCATGAGCATGAGCTCATGCTCAAGTATGCAAATCACTTTTTATTTTCCAGTAGTCCAAGCCCTTAAGACTTGTAGGTCGCCTCAAAAGGTAAATGGGTTCTTTGAACTATGAGTTTATTTGGAGCGGTAGGAAAAGGGCAATCAGGAACAAAAAAAAAGTAAAAGTCAGAAGGAAATCATAAGGAAATTGCTTCAACACACAATAAAATGATTAACACACAACAAAAACCCAAAACAAACCTTAGGCATACAAAAATAAAAAAAGAAAGAAACATTGACAGTGATTTATGGCAACCGACTGTCAGAATTATTTGGTTAGTTTCGTGGCCAACGGGCCACATGATGAAGTCATAGGCCTGGCCCAAAGGAAAACAACAAAATACATAGGAAACTTGTTTAAAAGACGAAAGTTTGGGTACCCTTGTAGTAGTAGTTTTATTCAAAATTCAAATAAATATTATAAACACTAGTTTTAAACCCTTCTAAGTTTATTTTGGAACCTTAACTAAACAGTTAAGAAAAATCTTTTATTATATACTACAATTTATTTTTCTTGTTTTTCAAATGGTAAAATTCTTAACAAAGTTATAACACCCTTAACCACTTAAAAGAGTAGCATCATGTTTCCTTGCAAATCTATTAAAAACATTCCCATAAGTGTTAAAACCTATCAATTTCTGCCACTCATTATACACTCTTTCAAGGGCATAAAAACAGACCCCATCAAGGGCCAATAAATACGGACAAGAGTCTTGCCACCTGGCCCTATCTCAGGTACAACTCTAATTAGCCGCGAGTGAGAGGCAGTCCAACACGACGATGATGGTTCGCAAATCAGTGGAGTGGCCCACGCCCAGTGTCCAAGTAAAGTAATCCAAACCAAACCAGACCAGGGATCCCATCCAATTGCAATTTCAATTCCAGCCGAGAACTAACGAGATCATTAAGGCTGGCAGGAATGGCGAGAATTGGGCTCTGATTGAAACTAAGTGCCAACGGGGCTAACATTAAAACGCACTTATCAACCGGTTGCAAGTCAAGGCCAATGTGATTCTTGCAGCTGGGGCAACTCCTCCTAATCGGGAGCGAAGTTTAAGCACAGCAGATCTGCGACAGCCGATAAAGCCTCAGCTAAAAATAAAACCCAGGGAAGGAGCAGCAGCAGCAAAAGATACAAGACACTGCAGCTGCAGATGCAACAGAGACGTATGCCCCAAGTCATGTTCGAAGGGGGAAGCTATCAACAGAAATCCCCCTCTATGGTTGCGCCACTGGCGGCACACAAAGAGTGTCCAGTGTCCAGGTTGGGGCCAAATGTGGCCCTTGGCCTTCACTCACCTTGAGATGCCGTTGCAGTTGTTGTGCCACAGCGGCATTGTCGTGGCCCCGTTGCAACGTTCGCATTCGGATTCGGATTCAGATTCGGAGGGACAACAAAAAGGAGGCGGAGGCTGAGGCTGAGATGCACAATGCGGGTACAGCAGCAACAACAATTGCATATCAATTACACGCTGGGCTGGATGCGGTCTTTGGCCTTGATGGAGTCAGCACCACGTACCCATCCAAGGCTCTTCAGCGCCAATATCACGGATGCCGATGCCAGGCAGCGATTGTCAGCAAAGGAGCCTGGTGCCTCCCTCATTTGAGCCCACTCCAGCCTTGGGCACAATTAAACCAAATTGACACCGCCCTCAGGTGGAGGTTGGAGCAGGCGGAGGAGTTGTTCCAGGCGAAGATTGAAGCTCCAGAGGGGGTAGAAGGAGGCGAAATGCCCGTTAACGACACAAGTGGACAAGACAACGCGATCGCCTCGTTTGCATTCAAGTGCAACTGATGGATACATTTGGAGAAATAAAATATAATATATAAATTCAAATATATTTTAAAACGCATGTATAACAAAAAAAATATTATTTTTTTATATTACTCAAGAATAATGATTGAAAATATATTTTATATATGAGAGAACTAGAACTTTAAGCATTATTAAAACCCCCTGAGACAAATAGAAAAAGAGGTATTTATATAAGGTTCAAATTAATTGATTATAATTTTAATCCACAAAATCATTCTCCAAGTGCAAAAGAACCTTAAGAGCAGTGGAAGCAACAGGAGCAGTCATGAAGCTCAACTTAAACCAGAACTAGAACTCAGGCAAGAACGAGCTGGGGTATAAAAGGATGCTGTCTTGGGATCAGAGGCAACAGTTACCACTGAACTAGCTATCCACACACATAAACGCTCAACTCACCTGCAGGAATCTCATCTCCTAGAGCCATGAAGTATCCTCTTCTGTTATTGGCCAGCCTGAGCTTGGCCCACGGCCTGGCCTTGTATGCCACCACGTATCCGTTTGTGTACTCCGCCGAGGGATCTGCCGTGTTCACGCCCACCCAGCGGCAGTATATCACCCAGGATCAGTTGGGTCAGTATTCCTACGGTTATGCAGAGCCCCTGTCCAGCAAGCAGGAGACCCGTACCCTGGATGGCATCACCCGAGGCAGCTACAGCTACAGGGATCCAGCGGGTAAGCTCCAGACCGTTGACTATGTGGCTGACAACGAGGGTTTCCATGTGGCGGCCACCAATCTGCCCAAGGCCATAGTTCCCCTGGACTCTCTGGGAATCTCTGGCAGAAGTTCTAGCCCAGGCAGTGTCCATCCCGTGGAGCATCCGGTGCAACATCCTGTTGTCTCACATCAAGTTCCGGTGCAACACCCAGTTGAATCCCATCATCATCCAACTGTTGTGGAGACTGGTCGCAGTGCTCAGCCCGAGGCACATCATCCCGCGGAGCAGTATGGTTCACCCGCAGTTGGACAACATGGTGGACATGCTCCATTGCCCCATCCCGTTACCGACACCGTGGAAGTGGCTGCAGCCAAATCTCTGCACTTGAAACGTGTCGAGGATGAAACGGTGCGCAACCAAGTTCTGGCCAAGATCCCAGTGGCTCGCAGTCATGTGGTGGTTCCAGCAACCCCAGTTTATGGGTACACCGTGCCCAGGTACTACTCTCCGCGGTTCTACTACTGAGTGAGCAGTTGTAACCAACCTTTCGGTACATTATTCCAGAGTTTCGAATTTAAATAAAAAAAATTTCAATCAGTCTGAGTTGCATTTTATATCTTAGTTTTTTGTTTAGGGGAATTTAAAGTTTATATTTGGTTTGATTAAGAATTTTATTTATGTATTTGGTTTTACCTGAACCCAGAGCATTCGGGCTGAACTTAACCCCAAAGACCGGATCCACGGAAGGGGACTCTGGACCCTGTCCTACCTCAACCTTTTGGCCCCAGTGGAACCCTTCAGCATACCGCATACCGACCGCAGCATTCACTCTTCATAAATGTGAGGCGAGTTTTGATTTCAATTAAATTTAATAGCAGCATAAACCAAGGAAAGAGGCAGCAACCGAAATAACTGAAACTGGAAAAGGTAGCCGGCATGTCCCGTAGCCCAACCCGGTTCCTTGACCCCTTCACGACAATCCCAACTATGCACTGAAGATGAAAATGGTGTAGAATAAAATTCAGCATAATTATTTTAATATTTAAAAGCTCTTCATATATAAATAATCTGCAATCATAAATTAGAAGGGTCGTCCCTGTATCTTTGTATCTTTATCTTTTCCTTTAGTAACATTAATCCACAAATGTTTATATTTATTTTTCTCCCAAAATTGTGGCATATTCCCTTATTTTTAAGTGTAAACTACAAACTCTGTGAAGAGCAGCCTGATTAAGTTCTTGCTTTGTGGCATTGCGGAACATTGTTGGTTGTCTCTCTGAACATGTCCACGTACAACGATCCCATCGGTTGCAATGAGATACGCATTGCTGCCCCCTGCCGCAGATGAAAACAAATTGCGACTTTTGTGCCGCAAATTTATGCTGAACTTGTTGAAATCGAAATCGACAAAATATTTATGTTAAAGGGAAGGCACAGGGAGGGACAGTGTAAGAGCTGAGGAAACCAAAGAGGAAGCTGAGGAAGAGGAAAAGGAAAAAGGAACAATAATCCAGGCCAGGCCTGGCCTGGTGGAATATGAAAGTAAAAACCCGACCGGACGACCTTCCTGAGAACGCACGAAATTGTAAATTTTTTCGGCAGGAGGCACCGTCGCCTATAAAAGGCAGAATCACCAACCGATCCCAGCACAGAGTTCTCTAGAGCGAGTACTAGTCCACCACACTAGCAGCGCCTTAAAAGTAATTCCTCAAAATATAAATTGCCCAATTGAAGCAAGCTTAAGATGCACTTCCTCAACATTTCCTGATCTTCACCACCATTGCCCTGGCTATGGGATCACCACTTTTGGAGTATGGAGCACCGCCGGTCAGTGGGGATACGATAAGTCAGTACCACACCCAGGATGAGCATGGTCAGTACTCGTATGGATACATGGCTCCGCTGTACTCCAAGCACGAAACCCGAACTCTGGATGGAGTGATCCGTGGTACCTTCTCCTACCTGGATGCTCATGGTGCCACCCAGACTGTGGACTATGTGGCCGATTCCGAGGGTTTCCATGTCACCTCCAACCTTCCCAACCAGCAAGCGAATCAGGAAACTCCTGAGGTGGCCGCCCTGAGGGCCCAGCATCTGGAGGCCCACCAACAGGCCAAATTGAGACTGGCCGCAGACACTTCCTTTGGTCCGCAACCGGTGCAGGATACTCCAGAGGTGGCCGCCGCCAAGGTGGCATTCTTCAAGCGCTTCGAAGCCGAGAAGCTGCGCAACCAATTGCTTGGCGAGAAGAAGATCAAGGTGATCGCACCGCCATCTCCGATTGCCGTTCGTTCCCAGCCGGTTTACATCTATCAGCCCACGACGGGATTCGTCTACAATTATCACACCAAGAGTCAGGTTCAGTCGCCTGCCAGAAACTACCTGCCAGTGGCTTAATTTTCACATCGAATCTTTTCTGAATCTTTACTCTCTGTTAATTGTTGAGCAATAAATTATGCAAAAAATTCGAAATTAAAAATGACGAAATTAAAAGAACTTGCTATGAATTTAATTTCCATTAATGATGTGTGGGCTAATTTAGTACTAGAAAAATAGAAGAATACTTTGATTTGAGGAATCAGATATTAAGTCTGAACGGAAAATGATTTATCTACAACCTCATGTCAATCCCAAAATTACTTCAAACCAACAATTCAATGCTAAATTTTTGTATACCCTCAGGATATAATAATGTTAGTCAGAAGCTTAAAAGGCGTCATCTCCGATACTATAATTCATATATATAGTAAATAAGTAAGATTAGTGAGTATCAATGAACATTAAGTAAATATGATCAGTAATTAACTATGATCATGAATTACCTATGATCAATAAGTAACTATAAGCAGTAAGTAACTCTGAACACTAAGTATCTATGACCAGTAAATACCAGAGATCACCAAGTTTCTATGACCAAAAAGTATGTATGATCAATAATTAACTATGAGCAGTAAGTAACTCTAAAAGGTAATTAACTATGGGCAGTAAGTATCTAAGTAACTATGATCAGTAAGTATCAATGAACACTAAGTCAGTAATGAGCTATGAGCAGTAATTAAGTATGAGCAGTAAGTATCTATGAACTTTAAATAACTCTGAACAGTAAGTATCTATGACCACTAAGTATGTAAAGGTGACCATGGCAATAAGCAAATTAATTGGAATATAATAATATAATAATATACAAGTCATGGCTAAGACTTACCGCAGTAGAGAACACGTGGCTCTTTCGTCATTGCTTACTTCCTTCAAGTGTAGTGACCAAGATTGGGTGACTTCATCCAAGTGAGCTTCTTCCTGGTCATCCAGATCCATTGCATTGGCCACGTCATATTTTTGGTCTCGAAGGGTGATCACTTGCACTATCACTGCCGATGTTAACACTAGGTACCCCTAGGACAGACTGAGGCGCGCGCGACCTCAGCGCCTCTATTTATAGTTCCTGAGGAGAGAGTGGAGCAGAGAAAGTGAGTGTGAGTGGGCGGGAGAGTAGGAGTTGGCTCTAGAGATTATCGTAGAGCGATAGGCATAGAGAGAGAGGGGGAGAGTCAGAGAGAAACAGCGAGCTATTTAATTAAGTAACTATGATCAGTAAGTAACTCTGATCGGTGAGTATCTTTGACCAGTAAGTAAGTATGATCAGTTACTAACTTTGAACACTAATAAAGAATGACTTGCAACAACACATTGACCAGTAAGTAACTATGATCTGTGAGTATCTATGAACTTTAAGTAACTCTGAACAGTAAGTATCTATGACCACTAAGAATGTAAAGGGGACTATGGCAATAAGCAAATTAATTGGAATATAATATTATAATATAATAATATAATAATATACAAGTCATGGCTAAGACTTACCGCAGTAGAGGACACGTGGCTCTTTCGTCTTTGCTTACTTCCTTCCAGTGTATTGGGTGACTTCATCCAAGTGAGCTTCTTTCTGGTCATCCAGATCCATTGCATTGGCCACGTCATATTTTTGGTCTCGAAGGATGATCACTTGCACTATCACTATCGATGTTAACACTAGGTACCCCTAGGACAGACTGAGGCGCGCGCGACCTCAGCGCCTCTATTTATAGTTCCCGAGGAGAGAGTGGAGCAGGGAAAGTGAGTGTGAGTGGGCGGGAGAGTAGGAGTTGCCTCTAGAGATTAACATAGAGCGATAGGCATACAAAGAGAGGGTGAGAGTCAGAGAGAAACGGCGAGCTATTTAAGTTTTAGTTTATTTATTTAGTTTATAAGTCGGAGCATTCCGAATCGGTGGATTATATATATATATGTATATATAGGTTCCATAGGAACGATTGGAAAATTTTAAGAAACAAATTTATAACTTTTTCAGTTTTCAACAGGTTTTCGTCAAATTTTATATATAGCCATAATATATTTATCTAGAATTTTAGGTAAAATTTTTTGAAAATCGGACAACTATATCATATAGCTAGTGATCGAATTTCAATATGCAATTTGCATATAGCTTCCTTTTTTGTTAAAACTTTGAATTGTCAAACAAATAAAAACACTACGTGAATTTGGCACAATGGTGCTCTGTCTTGCATTTATTCTTGAATAAAAACACATCATGGTTATACCACACTCATTCCGCAATCATAAGACGGCCTAGATCAATATCCTTCAACAGTTTCCCCCGATCCTTGGATCCTTCAGTTGCGCTTGCTCACTAACAAGCTGCGACTAAGGGCCACGGGGCGCAGGGTTCTCAGCTCAGTGGGCGTGGTCACGCTGTACTTGGTGTTGGGAGAGACCAGGGTATAGTAGGCGCCAATAGGCACGCGGAGATCAGTGTTGTCCAAACGATCCTCGAGCAGCTTCTCGGCACTGGCCAGATCCCCGAGCTTCAGGTAACTGCTGGAGCTAAGATCGGAAAGGGAGTAGATGGTGCGCAGGCGCAGATCATCATTGTCCCGATTGGAGGAAATCTGTAAGTTGGGAAGATCGATCTGCCGATTAGTCTCCCGGCTATTGCTCGAGTCTCGCAGGGATTCCTCATTACGGGACTGATCTTGACGTTGATCTTGCCGTTGATCTTGCCGTTGATCCTGCCTTTGTCCTTGTTCCCGCCTTTCATCCTGTCTCTGATCTTGTCGTTGACTTTGTCGCTGATCCTGTCGCTGATCTTGGCGCTGATCTTGGCGCTGATCTTGGCGCTGATCTTGTCGCTGATCCTGTCGCTGCCTTTGCTCCAGTCTCCGCTCCTGCCTCTGTTCCTCTCTCAGGTCCTGTCGGAGCTCCTGCCTCTGATCCTGATCCTGTCGCTGCTCCTCCTCATCCCTGTTTCTGGGCAGACTGCTCGATCGCTGACGTTCAGCCAACATGGCCGACAGCTCTGCTCTAACTCTCTCCAAGATTGCTGCATCTTCATCGCTTAGACTCTGCTCTCCAGACTGCTGATCCTCATTGTTGTTCCTTGTTTGATCATGCTGCCTGCGAGCGGCTTCCTCGCGCAGACTGGCGGCCAAGGCCTCGTCCCTGGCATCCCGCAAAGCGTTTAGATGAGCCAGGCGAGCCTGCTGGACCTCCTCCGTGTCGGTAACTGGCAGCGGGGCTTTTCCCTCATCCACAGGTGCCTGGGGCTGATTGCTGGCCTCCGCCTTGAAGCCTTCTAAGCCATTTGCCTCGTACCGCACAGTCTGAAGTTTACCGTTGGCATCGACATAGGAATAGAAGCCCCTGGAGGTGCCATCACGGGAGGAGTACTCGGCCCTGGCAGCACTGTCATCCCTATAGCCGTAAGAGTAGAAGGCTCTGGCGGTGTCCTGCTCCTGGTAGCCACTACTTTGCCGTTGAGCCACTCCACCGGCAGCTGAGGCAATGGCCAGTAGGCCCAATAGAATCGTCCACGTGAAGCAGTGCATCCTCTTCTTCTGATCTCAATGCTTGAACTGATGCCGCAGTAAGTCTTCGACGAGTGTTTTATACCACCACCTGCGGGTAACCCGAGGCGCACCACCCACTCTGCACCCGGTCTGCACAATGACCTCGAAATCCGCAAATCGATCCCCCGCGATCCGATTGGTGTCGATTGCCATTTGGGGCCTCCGGCACGCTACCACCGCGCGGATGCTGCAATAGTGAACTTAATATTGAGATACGGATCCATTGGTTGCGTAATTGTGCGACACTTCCACTTCCAAAGATACTTTGTGTGCTTGCCTCGCCGACCAATAGGAGGAGGAGGAGGATGTGGCAACCACACAACCTGGATTCGGAGCGGAACACAAATGGGGGAAATCAATTTGTTCGCATTTATCCAATAAACAGATATATCCCATTACCAGGTGCTCGGTGTCAGTAACACATTCAGTTCGGGAGCTGACACAAATAACTCTGTGGAGTGGATAAATTGTTGGGTGCAGCAATGACATGAAATGAAAGTAATTATCACGCATTTAAAATAAAATTAAATTAAAAAGTAAAAGATTATATTATATTATATTATTATACAATATATACATATTTAAATGATAAATTGTTTGATATATGTAAAGTATTAGTTATACTATGTGATTACTATAGCTTTTTCTGTATATACATATTACATAAAATGTATTTTTCTCAAAGAAAGACGTAGAAAAATCTGTATAATCAGTATAATCAAAACAGTTAACTCGTTCTCTCTCAATACCAACTTGCAGTAAAATGAATAATAATGTCATAATCTCAAAAGAAGATAACAAGCTTTAAAAGAAAAACGTAAACCTCCAGTCAAAACTGATCTGAATTAAAATATAGTTATCTTTAAAGAAAGTCAATGCTATAATCATTAGGGAACATGACTATAATTTTAAATATACATATTTAGTATGGTATGCTTTCCTATATTACCCGTCAGAATGATTAGCATTTGCTGCATTTTAAGCTTATTGTAGTTATGCAGTTATAATTAATACAAAAATGATCTCTCTCCGAGAGTGATATTTGTCGAAAAAGCTCTGCTGGAGCGGAGATCTGAGAACGAAGAGCGATAGCGATGGGGTCGTTAGCACTTCTCTGAACCTATGGACAAGGGTGCGAGCTATGGCGATCTTTAGTTTGCCAATTGCCGCCGACTGAATTGCACGGAATCCGAAACCGAAACCGAAACCGAAACTAAGCAAATAAGTTTCAAAACAGAGAGACATGAATTTGGCCGGCAAGAATGTGGTTTACCTTGGCGGATTTGGCGGCATAGGCCAGAAATGTGTGCAAGAGCTGCTCCAGCGGCAAATAAAGGTACAGATCTTACAACAAACTAAAGTAAGGCATTAATTACTTACTTGCTCCATTCCAGTCGCTGGCCATATTTGATTTAACAGAAAATACCCAAATGTTGGCTGAATGGAAGAGCAACAATCCCGACACGGATATATTCTACCAAAAAGTGGACATTACCCAGAAGTCGGACATTGAGGCGGCCTACAAGGCCACCGCCGAGAGATTGGGTCACTTTGATGTGGTGGTCAATGGCAGTGGACTAATGAACGATCGCCTGATCGATCTAACCATACAAATCAATTTGGTGAGAGCAGATTAGAAGCTTGAAATTCTAAATATTTGCTAATTATTGTTCTGAATTTGTAATTGGCTTTAGCTGGGTGTTATCCACAGCACCCTGACTGCCCTGGAGTACATGGACAAGTCCAAGGGTGGCCAGGGTGGAGTCATTGTGAATATATCCTCGGTGGCTGGACTACAGCCCACGGCTTTAATGGCCATTTACTCGGCGGCCAAGACAGGTGTTACCACTTTTACCCGTGCTTTGGCTGTGAGTTTGTATTAGTTATATTTTAATTATCTTAAATCCATTTTAAAAACTTTCTCAGAATCCCATTTACTATGCCCATTCTGGCGTTGGATTTATTACCATTTGTCCAGGATTCACGGATACTGGTCTCCTGGATGATATAGGCAACAAGACAACCTTTGAATATGAGACTCCCATGGTGGCCATGTTCAGCAAGGTGAAGCGTCAAAAGGCAGAGGATTGTGCCCGGAACTTGGTCCAGGCCATAGAAACAGCCAAAAATGGAGCAGTCCTGATGCTAGAGCTGGGCGAGATCCATGATGTGGATATGCCAGACTTGTGGAAGCCACAGTTGGATGTTTAAATATATAATATATATCCCCCTTTATATATAATCTCAAGTGGTTGGTAATAAATAAATAAAATAAAATATATAACAAGAAATTAAGTAAAACCACATTAACCGCAAGAACAGATCGGATTGCTTAGCAAGAATTAGACCCGAAGATTAATATAATTCGATTAAGTTTCATTTATTTAATTTTCAGGCATACACACACAAAATTGAGTTTAGTTTTTTAGTTTTCTATAAGTTTAGTTTTTGTTTTTTTCCATATCTAACATTTACAATGAATTTTGAAGATAAATATATATTTTTATTTCAGCACATCCAAGAACATACATTATCGATTAACATTCCACAAAACTAGAAGAGATGTTTGGCTTCGACATAGCCGAAACTATAGATATCCTAGAAAAGGAATATATATTCGGGATAAAAATTACAAAAGAAATACATGGAAACTTTATATAGATATCTTTGAAGAAACGCAAAACATGGCTTATCTTTGAACAAAGCTGCCGGCAGCAACTAAGATTGTTTAAAGAAAACTCTGTTAAATTGATAATTGTATATGGAAATCGTATATAGACGGACCACCACAGATAAGAACTTAATAATCCCGCAACTATAACCTTTTCTAGGGTATCATATACATGGACAAAGACCCTAGGTATTTGGGGATTCGGTTTGAGAGTAGAAGCACGGGTCTCCCATTGTAGGGTTTAGCTTTAGCTTTATACTTCCTGAAGAATGCATGTAAAATACAATCTCTGCTTATACACACATTATTATACAATATTCAACTTTCTCCAGCTGTGGGTGGTGTGTGTAGTGTGTCATTAGATACATTATCATACTCGTATATAGTTAGTTTCATCATTTAGCGTTTAATATAAAGACATTTGTTCGTTCCCATTGAACTGGGAGTTAGTTTCGCTTTGTTAACTGTAAATTTCACATCATCACAATTCAAGGATTCTTCAACTTATAAATTACACCAAGAACATCAACACTTGATTCGCAGATAGAGAGTCGCATCGCAGGACCTGCAGAACCTTGCCGGGAGCTTGAGCTGCTGTAGATTCTTACTCGTAGTATCCTGGTTTTAAAATTGAGAGTATTTTGTATTGTCCTCACCATAACACATTTGATGCGCTGGAAGAGAGTCCTCTGGCTAACTAACTATATCTTCTATATATTCGATTGCAGTGCAGTTCTATTATTGGGTGGTTCGAAAAGCGGTCGGTCATCTCCTGGCAGGTTCCTTAAAAGACTTATTGGATCTTCTGAGCTACTGCAAAAATGTCCTTGCTTTTTATCGTTAAACATCACTAACCCTAGTTGTTGAGGAACAGAAGCGCCTATTATCATCATATATATCTTATATTGTTTTTTTTTTACGTTACCCTTATATCTTATATCGAGAACATACAGTAATGCGGATTGTCTGTAACTAGATAGTTTCGTTAACTATAGGTTTTGTTTTGCTTTCCTCGAAGTATTGTATCTATTCAATTTCCTATCTGGTGGTGGTGTTGGTTGCTGTGGGTGTGTCTTAATCTGCGGGTGGTTTAAGCTTCTTGGTTTGCTTTCTTCTAAGCCTTCTCTCTTAACCATCTTTCTTCTGATATGTCTCATACATTATCTCATCGCAAACTTAAAATATATGTATATATTTAAGAGGAAAACAAACTAAACGAACTAAAAGTTTTGTGAAAATTTATTGGTAAGTAAAATAAATAATTGTTTCTTCATTTTTTTGTTGTCGATTTTCTTTTCTCTTCCACTTTGATTAACAGAACTCGAAAATTTGCTTAGGGTAGAAACATTGAGTGATAATACCAAAAATACATTTAATTAACATATGTATATAAATATATATGCATTTAAATAAGTGTTGTGTTGTGTTGTGTGTGTCATTGTGTGTGTAAATAGAAAATGTCTGTGTGTAAGTATGTGTGAATTGCTCGGCACGACCTGTATCAAAAAGAGCCTCGGTCAGAGTTTTGGGGGGTATTGGCATTGGCGGGTTGCTGGACTCATTGTAAATTATAAAGTTACAAAACTCAACGCAACAAAAATACATTATCATTATCATTATCATTATTATTATTATTATTATGAACTGAACCCATTGGGTTTAAGCTAAAAACTTCACCACAGCCCAGGCCAGGCGGAGAGCTTGACGACAGGCAGCGATCCCTATCTGTATCCAGAATTAAGTACGCAGCTCGCCTCCGCCCGGCCCTCTTCTTTTATACATTTTCACATTGAATGCTTTAGTTTCTGAGTAGTAATAGGAAAATATACATTTAAATGTACGCTTTATGTTTCTCTTAAATTGCTTCGATCAACTATAGCTGTCACAACTGAACACATACTCCCCGCAGAAATGGGGGAATATAGTCTTACACGGATTCTACTACACACACGGCATCGAAACATCATCGTTAACAATAAATATATATATATTTGTAAAGATATAGTATATGTTGTGTATTCTGCTATTTATGATCAAGCGCAGCAATTATATATATATATTATATATAAAGGTTCCTGATTTCATCGCTTAACAAATACAAGTTACAAAAAATCATTGTTTCTTCACATTTGTTTCGTTCTCAAATCAAAATGATGTACAATGTCTTGAAAACAAAACGCGGGCTCAACTGACATTAATATATAATATTAATAATAGAGCGCACAAATTGGTTAGTTTCTATTATATAAATATACATTTATATAGGCGACATGGAGAGAGAGAGAGAGTAAGTAAGTAGGTAGTGTGTGTAAATGTTCTCAAAGCCCTGACAGACCTTCCACTTGCTCCTCATTTCTCGTCGTCTTCTTTACTTTACTCTCGCTTGGGGACGTGATTTTAATTTATTTTCAATAAATTTAATATAATATAGTACAATAGTTAACAACATCGCACAATAGCGTTATTAAAATTTCTTTAAGAAATATAAACATTCATTTCGCACACATACAAATGATCGATCGTTCGCGTTCCTGTCCTTAGAGTGTGGCTCAGTGTGCATGTGTGTTTTGTGTATGTGTTTTATGATTTTTTTTAGTTTTTTTGTTTGTATATAAAAATAGCGTTTTGAAATATAGTTAATAATTAAAAAAATATATATATGTTTATACCTATGCATGTATACAGCACATTACACATTCAATCAAACATCATTTTGATCACAAACAATCAGGGGATGGAGGCGGGATGGCGGAAAAACTCACTATTGTTGGATTTTTGGGATATTTAAGTCTTGTGATCATGATTCAATTAATTAGTGCATATCGATCTATTTCTTGTCTGGGGTAGAATTGTTTTAAAGTCTTCGGATAATGCCTGACGTTCTCATCTCCTCCTCCTCCTCCTCCTGCTCTTGCGGGGATTTCTACGGTCTGGATCTGAACCCTAGGCTAGACATAAACATTTACGATCTAAGTTTTGAGTTTTTGTTTCGGTTTGCTTTTGTTATTCATTTGCTAAGACGACGACAACACATTCCCCGCGATGTGAAAACTTAACACATTTAACGTGATCTCAAAAACACATTTTTCTCCACACAAAATTTGAACAATGAACTAATTAGACAATTATTTAATATATTCTAATAGACGGTACCCAACCCATTTTGATGTTTTTGTTTTGGCTCCGATCCAATAACGGATCGGTCGGATCAGTTTTTAACTACAGTTACGGTTACAATTGAAATTCTACCAAAGAGTTTGAACTGTGCGGTACAAACCTTTCTAACGATGTGTAAAATGATTGCATTATACATATTCTACCACTCATCTTCGTTCTATATATAAACCCTATATAGATATATCCTCTGGGTGAGTGCCCAGGACTGTTGTTTAGTCCACCTTGATGCCGCTATCATCGGGATCGACAATGTCGACCAGGTTCTTCTCCAGCTGCAGCATCATACCACTGTCGATGCCGCCCTCGAAGCTGTCCTCCGACATCAGTTGCGGCTTTCTGCCCCACATCGGTTGCTGCGGCTGCGGGTGGATTAGTAAATAAAAAAGATTAGAAATTAATCTAATAAAAAAGTAACTATACAAGAGTTTTTAGACATTCTTTTCTCCCTTGAAACATGATTTCTTCGTCACCACTCATCGACTGTACTCGATTATCAAAGGCGGAAGAGATTAGAAAGTCAAATAGTATTCACACCCTCAATTGAACCCCTCCCTCATCACACCACACCTACTCACCTTGCTGGCATTAAAGTTATCGTTCCTATCGCTCTTGTAGCCGCCCCCATATCCCAGATCGGTTGTCTTGTCGCTCAGGAACTCGGCATTCTTCATATCGTTCTCCAGCAACCAATTATTCCAATTGGTGGAACCAGAACCGGTGCTACTCTTGGGACAAATCGGACCGTAGCGACTGTGCATGGAGGAGCCGGTGGGCACATCAAACGTCGACGCATCGTCATCCAATATGGAATCGGAGCGTACAAAGTTCGCTGACTCCTTGCTCGAGTTATTCCAGAACAGCAGAGATGAGCCATGATTGTTGTTATTATTGTTGTTGTGGGAGCTGTTGTTATTGTTATTGCTGTTGATGTTGTTGTTGTTGTTGGAGCGACGGAACAGAGGCAGAACATCCACATCGGACTCCGAGGATCTGTCCAGGTCTATGTTTACACTATTCGGCGGTTTCTTTTCATAAAATGAGGTATCAGCTGTTGCGGCTAAAATCGACAACGGTCGGCTGGGATTCGGCTTGCTGGACGGTGGCTGCTGCTGCTGCTGCTGGGGATGCTGAGGATGCTGCGGCTGCTGCTGCTGTCCCAGGTAGGCATGCTCCCAGGGATGACCCATGTGGAAGACATCACCACCGCCGGGCAGCATAAAGCCCTTGTGCATGTTGTTGTTCACACTGAAGCTCGGTGGGTTGGCATTGCGTTGCGGAGGCGGTACTCCCGGACCCGGATTGCCTTGATAGTCCCGCGGCGATGGATTCCTCGGCGGTGCCACGCCATAGCCAGTGAAGCGGGGATCGTAGCGACCGGGCACTATCAGTCGTGCAATGGGGCTGTGGTGCGAAGGATGAAGCAGCGGCGGCGGTGGCGGTTGCTGTGGTGGCAGTCCCCCACCTCCGGGGGAAAGACCCAAATTGGGCTCTAGATAGCCCCTGGGTGAGCCCATGTAGTGCATCGGCGACACAGGCAACATGGGTGGCATTCCCATGGGTTGTCCATCCGGCTCGCCCAGTGGTTTTTTGATGGCTCCGCCACTAATCCCTGGAGGTCCCTGCAGAGCCAATGGTGTTTTCATGTGCTTACCTCGATTCCGGGCACGATAGCGCTCCACCTCCTCCTGGGAGTGGGCAAAGGTACAGCTGGCACCTCTGGGACAAACCCTCCGCACGTTTAGGTCCCTGCACAGGCTGATCTTGTACTTGGGATTGCTGGTAGCTGCTCCGCCACTGCCACTGCCACTGATTCCATCCTGGGCCTTGCGCACGCCATGATGCTGAAGGAAGTTCACCAGACCCACAACCGAGTGGCGAACCGCGTCCAAGGCTTCAGCCAAATCCGGCCAGGGAGCCACCTCCGCACAGGGATCGATATTGGCCAGGTACTTGAGGTGATGATGGAGACTTGCCAGCTTGGCCGGGTCACTGGTGCGTTGCAGAGCGATGACCAGCTCTTGCACCGATTGAGCGAAGGAGCTGGGCGTCTGCAGCTTGTCGATGATGCTCTGCATGTGGCTCTTGTGCATCACGTCGCCATACAGGAGGGAAGACCATTGCTCCGGAGCGATTCGCAGGCCCGCCTCGGTGGCTATTTGGACAATCTGGGCATCGTGCTCTCGACGCAGGGCGTCGTACGTCCGGAACTCCTCCTTGAGTTGCATCAGCGATGAGTCCGCCTCCCGCTTGGATACCTTGAAGCAGCTGGCACGGTATAGTAGCTGCACCACATGACCAATACTCGTCTTGGAGGCCTGGGGGAACTGCGGTTCCAAACGCTGCACCACGAACATGACCAGCACTTTTCGCGAGAGCGCAGATCCTTCCTCCAAGGCCAGGAGTACCAGCTTTAGCACCTCCTCTTGCATGGCGGGTCCGAGGAACTGACATCCTCTTGTCCTAACCGCTGCCCATAGATTGGAGCTCAGTTGCTGGGGGTTCTGGTGCTGCAGAATAAGCTCGGTGACCGTACGCTCGCCCAGGGATCTAGCTGCACGCAGTGCCCTCACCCTTCCCTCCTCCTCCATCAGTTGACAATTGACCAGGGTGACCAGCTTGCGCTGCATGGGTCGCGTCAGGAGATTGCCATTGCCGTTCAGGTTGAGGAAGGACTTCAAGTGCAAGGCCAGCTCCTCAATGCATCGCTGACCCAACTGGTAGCACTTCAGGTGCTCCGGTTCAAGCTTCTGGACACTGGGCGGTGGAGGTCCCAGCTCCACCAGCTCCGAATCCTTGACCAACTGGAGTAGGGCATGGTTTACCGGAAGATTGTCGATGTCGCTGACAATCACAGTCTGCAAGATAGATATTCATGTAGAATAAGATTAATTAAGGAGTTGGAAAGGAGAACTTACCTGGTCGAAGGGACATTGCCGATTGTAGAGGGTCGTCAGGCATAGCTTGCAAATGGTGTGTCCGCAGCCCAGGCTGACCGGGCAGCGCTGGCTGGCCGCGAATTCATTGCAGCAGATGGGACAGTTCAGAAAATCTGTCCATGAGGGAGCCTGAATCGGCATGCTGTGAATGGGGAATCATAAAAAAATCAATTAAGATGATTAAGCTTCGAGAAAGGAAGACAAACCATGGGTAACGATGTTTGAATACTCTTTCATATTGCTATGGACTATACACCATATGATATGATCCTAGGGATCCTTAACTTCCTGATTAACTTCCTAACCTTACACCTTTTTTGAATTTCTAATTAGAAGGTTATTGACAAACTGCGACTAAGAAAACCCCGTGCCCAACAATGTTTTATGGGTAGAACGATAAAAATTTGATCTGAGAAACATAATACTAAGGAAGTTATTAAAGTTATTATGATAATTAAATTTCTTAACATAAAAGATAGTTTTGTACGAGATACGAAATACACACAAGTATATAAGTGTATATATAAGATATTACCAAAATTGGTTGTAAAACCGATCTGAGTCAAGTTTATAGAAACAAAAGAGTTATTTTTTCCACATAAAGTGGCACAGAAAAAAAAGTTTCGCTTTCGTCTTTCTCTTCTTCTTGCAATAGCCCCAACGTCAGCTGTCGCTCTCACGCACACACGCTCGCCTGCACACTCACACACCCATACACAGGTGCTGCCCATACGTGTTGGTGTGTGGCGACAGTTGTACACGCATGCAAGTATATCTCTGTATGTATATATGGGGGGAGCGCATACATATATGCCGAGGCTGCACTTCCTGGATAACTTTTCGGTAGCTTCGCAGCCGGAGGATCAGGTTCGCCACTGTGGCGACACAAGGAGCCCGAACTCCTCGCACACAAACACACACACACACGCACACACGTAGTTGGACGGTGGCAGGTAATCCAACCTTTTCATTGGGGCACATAAACGTAACTCGCTTTCAACGTCATCAGCCATCCGCTTTCTTTTGGGACGCGAACAAAGGGATTTGTGGCCAGAAAGAGGAGCGGTTTTTAGTTCCTTCACTACCCACGTCCAACTCCCGAGGTCGGTAATCCTGCGGGCAGTCCTTGAACGCCAGTCGGAGCCCCAGGAAAAACACTGGACTCCACTGAACTCTCTCTCCCAAGACTTTTCGTTACGTTTCACTTTTCACTTTCGTCGGCTGATTCGTCGCAAAATGATATTTGCACTAACGTTGCACCGACTCACCTTCATATTATATATTATATATATATTTAAATATATACATATTATTGCATTAAAGGTACGAAAAGATGTTTTTTAATTTTCATTGGAACTTTTTGTAAAAAATTTGGAAGTAATCAGTATGACCGAAGTTGGCGAGCGGTGAAATACCGAATTTTCAAGAAACGCTTATCAATGCTGGTGAAAATACCATAAACATACCATTAAAGACAGCTGCGATGTATTTTTAAACTGCTTGCGCTCAGCTGGTGGCGATAGGCAGGTATATTCGATAACATTCCAATTTGAACCTGTTATCGGGACTTAAAAATACGTTATTAAACGTTAAACTATTTAAATGAAGATCAATTAATTAATATAACTCGTACACAATATATAAGTATAACTTTGCAACACCTTGAACTTTTATTAAAGGATGAAATTAATTGTTAATACTTTTTTATTTAGTTTGCTTTAATTTTCAGTACTTTTATTCAATTTACTTTCATTTCATTCGTGCATACATTCCACCAAATGTACTTTATTCCTATTGTCATGCAATTGAGTAATGATTAAATGTAATCCAGCTCATTAAAAAGGAGTCACCGAGTTTAAAAAAACCCTTTGCTAGGAACCTACTTCTTAGCAGCAGTGCCATAAGCAGACGCTTTGCTGATCTTCGAGGCATTAACGGCGTGCTCCATGAGACCATAAACTAAAAATAAAACAAAGAGACATTAAATGAGATATTTCCGACCAATCTTTTCAGACTTACATCCTCCGAGGATCAATACGACGGTGAAGAATCCAAGCCAGTTGCCCGCAATCAAGGAGGTGACCAAATAGTTCAGAATTCCCAGAGAGGCAAAACTGGCCCAGCCAATAAAGTTGAGGAGCGTGCTAAGACGCGGCTTATAGATCTTTTCGGGAACAGCTTTCACGCCCGAAGCCTTGAAGAAGCTTCCGGTTTCGTGGAAACTGTCGATGATCTTGTCCTTCTCCGCGAAAAAGTCCTGCATCCAGGCAGCGGCCTCCTTTTCGCCATCAGGGACCTGATCCAGCGGCACTCGGCGAATGTACATGTACGGCTCCACGGGCTCACCATTCAACTGGGACAGCATCGTAGGCTTTGGCTATAAAATGAAGAGTTGATTAGCAACTTTAAATAGTTAAAGAGGATTTAAAGTCCTCACCTCGGCATCCCTCTTAAAGGCCAGATTGATATCGTAGATGGCAGGACAGATGCCTCTCATCGTGGGCAGGCTGGTGGTGAATCCCTTGGTTCGCGGAATCAAGTGATGCTTGAGCTCGGGCAGACCGCGTTCCTTAGCAAACTTCACGGACAGCTCATGCTTGGCAGGAGTGAAGCGGGTTCCCTCTGCATTCAAAAGGAGCCACACAGGATCCGGATAGGAGAAGACCTCCTTCAGCTGGTTCTTGATCACAATCTTGTCTTTCTCGAAGTTACGATCCAGGAAGATGAACTCGGCCATCCACCAGACCCATCCCATGATAGGAACGTAGCGAAGCATCTTCTTAGCATAGGCCTTGGTGCCACCCAGGTTGCCCAGTTTGTCCGTGATCATCCAGGCGGTGAGCCAATCAATCTCATATGTGTGGTTCATCAGGAGCAGGCCGTGCTCCTTGCCAAAGAACTTCTGTTCGTCCTCGGGATCGATGTAGACCCTCAGTTTGCTGCCAGCATACCATTCAGCCACACAAACCAGAACTGATAGGGAGAGAGATCGTGTCAAGTTAATTAATAAATTAATTACAATTTTATATACTTACTGCAATAAAAAGAGTAGGTGAGATAATACATAATACTCCGAGAGAGACGCTTGTCAAAGGGTCTCACCAGCACGATCAGCAAAAGCTGAGCAATATTGATGAAGAAGCCGGCCGTGAAAAAGGTCACAGCGATCAGCAGTCGCCCCAATCCCTTCAGTTGCGCCATTCTAAGCTAAAAATACCAATTTAATTTAAGCAAACTTTACGTAATACACCTGGAAGTTTATGTAGTGAAATGTCTGTACATAGTTAATAAATATGTCCAGCGCGCGATATCGAGTTATGGCCCACTCAAACTTTGCCCCCAATGTGTCATGAACTGCTTAAATTATAACAAGCATGCCGGCTATAAACATACAGTGAACATTCTATTATTTGAATTATTGTGAAATTCTATAAATAAACTTAAAAAACAATTAAGAAAACGGTTTAACCAACTGTTTTACTTTAATATTATCACTATATTAACAAAGGCTTTTCTATATATATTTGTTTGATTTTAATATAAACATACAATCTTCTCTACACCTTGCAAATTTAAATATTTAAAATTGATTGTTTTAGCTTTATTTCCGTTATTCCATAGCACACTGTTATCGTAACACTACCACACTCACATATCTTAACGTGGTATTTTTGATCCTAAAAAATCAGAGACCAGGGCCAGGAAGTGGCAACTTGTTCTACCAACAGGTAGATCTCAACTGAATGAAATGAATTCTTTTAGACTCGCTAGTGATATAGATCCCGTCGATAGTACACTCAGAAAGCTATAAACCACCGACTTTTAATCACTTGTTATCAGTTAATGGGGGGAACCAGCAGCAGCACTGCTTATCTCGGAACACAGGCGTAATATTGCTGTTCGGGTTTATGTGTGTGTTAGGTACATATACAAATGTCGCCAAGGGCAAGCAGTTGAACTAACGGAACGTGCGCTGCTTTGTGATCGTTACAGCTGATAAAGAACCGATGCTGTTTAACATGCTGATAAGTAAATTTATGTCTGAGAATAAAAAAAACACTTAGTGAGTTTCTGCCTTCGCTTCTGGTTATACTTATTTATTATCGCTCGTTGGCACAGGACTTTTGAACCTTTTAGCGGTCATGGGTGTGATAAAGATAACAAGGAAACTTTGGTAAGCATGATATTAATTTTTTAAATATCATATATGGTAATTAGAAACAGTTTTAAAGTTTAAAATTTTTACTTAGCTCGTTGTTATTAAAAGCTGCCATTGTGTCATTTTTTTGCGGTATTTTTCTGTTAGTAAAACATACCACATGTACTGCTTGCACAGCTGCGCATCAGCTGTTGACCGTTATCAGTGCACTGCTTCCATTATCAGAAACAAACATTTATCGTCACATACTATTTGTTTAATTTAATTATTGCAATGCTCGCCAAAATACAATATCGATCAAACAATTAAACTTCCACTTAGGTGTACAACTACCAACTACATATGTACGCAAATTGATGGCTCCAGTGTGCGGGAGTTACTTCGTAACCATAAACTTAGACAAAACATGCACTAATTTCTGTTCAAAAACACTTTAGATCCAGTCCAGCCTCGTCCAGGAGTCGCGAATTGATCCTTTTTATAGCAGAGAGATTTGTGAGAGGGACTGGCTGGCTGCCTTTATACAAAGTCACTTGTAGATAATTGAGAGTTCGTCAACAATCAAAACTAAATGCCGAAAATTTAAAGTTATTTTGTGCTCGACTTCGGGTTGCCAGCTCCGGCGCCATAGCTCGAGCCCTTGCTAATCTGGGTCTTGTTGATGGCCTGGCCCATCATCCAGTAGACTGTAATATAGTTTAAATAAATCAGTAAGGGGCTGAGGCATTCTTTTATTTAAATACTTACAAAGTCCCAGAATGGAGAGGGACGTAATAAAGGCCGTCCAATTGGCCGCCAGCAGAGAAGTGACCAGGTAATAGAAAATGCAGAAGAGCGAGAATGCCGCCCAGCAGGCGAAATTGACCAACGAACATAGCCGAGGCTTGTTTTGGTATGCGGCCACCTCCTTTACGCCAGACGTTTTGAAGAAGCTGCCCGTCTCCAGGAAGCTATCGATGAGTTTGTCCTTTTCCACAAACAGATTCTGCAGCCAGGTGGCGGCCTCCGTCTCATCTTCGGGCACCTGCTCGAGGGGAATGCGACGCATCAGCATGTGCGGTTCCACTGGCTTGCCGTGCAGCAGGCTCAGCATGGTTGATGGGGTCTACAAAGGCAGTAAAAATATAATTAGAAAAGTAGAAAAAATGGTAGCTGAAATAGCAGTGTGGCTAGTTTTTATTACTAACTTTATGGCTCCTACACTCTTATCCAAAATTCGCAAACTCACTTAATTTAAAGCCCCAATAACCTGAGGCCCATGTGCCTGTAATTAGCTGCAATGACCATAGCTAAGATCTATTTCCATCACGGTTTAAATAAAAGCTTAAAAGGTTTTGATTTCTGGGTTATATAAAGTAACCTAGACGCGATAAAGAATTATGTATGAAACTAAAAATCATAATCATAAATTCAAATCATTTCTCTCTGACTATATATATTTACTTTAAAATACAAATCAATAGCGAATTCGACAGGCTTATTTAAAGTGGCTATAAACTGATTTGGGCCAGGTGATTATTGCCATTTTGTTAAACAAGATAATTAGTCTGAAACCTTGAAAACTAGGTAAGATTAGATTGCATTGCAACAGGTAGGCGGTCATGTTTAGGAACGGTGATCAAGCTAATCAAACAAACCTATATGCAAAATTTAAACCCCGATTAGTATCAAACTTAGCCGTCTAACAATAAAGGCCTTAGCGGTTATATAAATCCCTATAAGCTTGATTATAACATAACAATTAAAGTATACTAATAATATTTACCTTGTCCGTAGGCCTATACGCTAGATTAATGTCGTAGATGACGGGACACAGACCACGGATGGGCGCCAAGCTGGCGGTGAAGCCCTTGGTGCGCGGAATCAAATGATGCTTCAGCACTGTCATACCCCGCTCCTGGGCAAACTTAACGGATGCCTCGTGCTTGCCAGGAGTGAAGCGAGTACCTTCCGGATTCAAAAGCAGCCAGGTGGGATCGGGGTAGGAAAAGACCACCTTCAGTTGCTCCGTGATGATGGTCTTGTCCTTGTCAAAGTTGCGGTTGAGGAAGACAAACTCGGCCAGCCACCAGCACCAGCCGATGATGGGCACGTAACGAATAGGTTTCTTGGCATAGGCCTTACAGTTGCCAAGGACTCCAAGCTTGTCGCAGATCATCCAGCCGTTAAGCCAATCGATCTCGTACTTGTGATTCATAATTAACAGGACATGCTCATTGCCAGCATGCTTTTCGTAGTCATCCTTATCCATATAGACGGTCATCTTGCTGCCCGCATACCAATCGGCCACAAAGACAATTTCTGAAAGAGATTACAGAGTGCGTAAGAAGGATTTCTGGAGGATATTGTCAAAAGGATATACTCACGGGAGTAGAGCGAGTAGCACAAGTAGTACATCAGCTTCCGGAAGAGTCGCTTATCAATGGGCTTTATAATTAAGTGCATCAACAGCTGGATGAAGTTGATGCACAGCCCACTGGTGAAGAAGGTGAGCGCGATGCATAGGTGGATCAGTCTCAATTGTTTCAGCTTCTCCAGTGACACCATTTTGATCTGCAAGTACCGAATGCTTAACCAATAAAATAAAATCCAGAGTAATCTTTACGTAATAGGAACTTCGTTCGTAAACCACCAAAGTGACCGTAGACCCCGCGTTTTATGACCCTAAGTGAAGCAACCCGTACTAACTATGCCCGTTAAACAGCGTCCCGCGCACTTACTCAAGAATTGGGGGGTTTCTTTACGGGTTCACACACGCGGCTGTGTTGAAAGAGAGCGTGAAAAGCGGTAAAGGCAAAGCACACCTGCACCCCACACCGGCTGGCAACGGACTGGGACAACTCACACGCGCGGCAACCACCCGAGAGATATTCGCCAGATATCGGGGACTGGCTATGGCTATGTATTAAGTCGGAGCAGCTGGGGGAATCTAATCAGAGGCAATCGATGACTTCTCCCGCGGAAAAGTAGCCGCTGCGGACAAAGTCCGGTCAAAAGGTGCGACTGGTAGTCATTATGGGGCAAAGCGAAGATATCTTTACAGTAGAAGCTACTAATTTATTTGCACTTTTAAAAAGAGGGAACAAAGGGTGAAATTCATAGAAGAGGCATTTTTTGTTTACTTGCATTAACTATTAGCATGTCTCTTCTTATATAAATCTATATACTCGTATTTTAAAATGTAGTAATTATTTTGTACTGTTTTAAACACAGGTATTTAATGTTTATTTAATTAAGACTTTCCGAACCTTCTTTCAATTATAAACTCAGCTGCACTTTAAAAATGTATTATCAATAAGTTTTGATAACAAGAGATAAAGGGGACTTAAGCTTTGTGGTTCTTATGAAAATAATATAATTGCTTTTTATGTACATACATATATATTCCCCAAGAAAATGAAATAACGTTCAAGGGAAATATATGTAAATTGCTTAACTCGGTCAAAGTCTTATCTATTCGTCTGATATGCATATGAATTTGGTGTTCCTGTGATGATTTAATTAAAGACATATACGGCGACAAATCAGCGCTATATTGTTGCATTCAATTGGTGAACTTGACTGTATTTAATTAATTCACTTTTTCGATCATTTGCTATATACGTTCATTTATATAGAGAACAACAACAAAAGAGTTCTTTGGCCACACGCACACACCCACGGGCAGCTGACGCACACGTTTACGGGTGTCAGTGTTTGCGTAGCAGAGGAGTGAGCTGGTGGTGTGACGTGGTGTGGATTACGGTTCATCACTCTCTTGCGCTAATGATCCGAAACGCGATCGCATCAACACCCACTATTATCAAACACAAAGTCCACCCACAGGGCTATCAATCCCGTAGTGCCTCTTATCGGTTATTCCCTGAGGCACAAGCACATACATAACACACACGAACCCATGCAGTAACCACACTTGCACCAATGTTTACGTGTATGATGGCGCCAAAAGGTGTTAATTGCAAAGCACTTTATTTCATTAAATCACTTGCTATTAGAACCCGCCATTTACCTTTTTGGCAATGTTTTTGTGCGAACTTGGTTTGATTTGTTTTTTTTTGTGAGCAGCGGTGTGACCGTCCGCATGTAATGCAACGCAGTGCTGCCAGATGGCATCTAAAAGTAATAAGTCGGCCCTATCGGCTTATCGATATTGTCATCGATTTGTTGTAGACTCTATCTTAGGTGCGAACTAGGGCTCTCTATCGGATATTTCAAAAATGATCGTATCGATGATAGTTATGATAATATAAGCACGACAATGAGTAAGTCAAATTTTGGCGGTTAATTCTAATAGAGATGAAAGTATGCACGTACACACTTGGGCTCAAAACCCATTAGTTTTCGGTCACTCTAAATATACTGAATACGCCTATCGATTAAAATATTCGATCTTCCACACTTATATTTATGTATATTATTGATATTAAATAAAGCTATTACTTCAGGGCAAACAAAATATACCAATAAGTATCAAAATAATATATCCCAATATCGATATTTGGGCAAACATAATATCCCGATATAATTTATCATTTTGCGAAAAATATCGATATATTGATATTTTGATATATTCAACAACCCTATTGCAAATGCCAAATTCTTTTTATTAAAGAATTTTGCGACATTCACTGCAGGTAAGCGTCAAAAAATGCATATTTAGGAGTCTGCGATATTGGGCCAAGGTTTTCATCAATTTCTGTGATCACCAGAAGTTAACATGTACAGGGGGCCGAAAATACAACCGGCAGACGCTTTTTGTGTCGCCTTTTTGCAGACGTGAGCGCTTGAGTTTGGGGGGTTTGTGTGTCCATTATGTATATACCTGATGTTGTCCGTCCAGTTGCAGCTGTCGCAATGTCAAACGTGGAGATCTACGATACGTCCAACTCCGAGTTAAGCAGCGACGAATACAGCCACGAGGAGGACGACGACGCTCTAATGGAGGCAGCGGTCAGCAAGCAAGCCAGTCCCGGTAACTCGACAATAAAGGCGGGAGCGGACGTCGACCCGGGTGCAGTTGCCAAACCCAAGTCGAAGCCCTCCGAGAATCCCAACGATGAAAGTGTGACAACAGCGGATGCCGCTGAAAAGGAGAAGATAACCGAAGACGCTCCTGTGGTGATGCCAGAATCGCCCTCCACGACGGCCGAAAAAATTCGACAATTCCGGTTATGGCAGTCCACACCCCTCCGTCTGCCTTCTATTTATTTCAAGCGCCGCAGTCTCGCCTGGTAAGCGTTTTATAAGTTCACTTCGTCTCCCAAAAATTAAAAAAAAACTACTCTTAATTACCTAGGACAAAAAATTACGATTCAAACTATCAGTTTCTCATAAAACGCAAAAACGCAAGCATAAGGCGAAAGCGCTACACATCCTACAGCAGAAGTGTGAGCTACAGTCGCAGCAATAGTCGTAGCCTTAGTCGCAGTCGCAGCCGCAGCTTGGAGCGCAGTTGCAGCACCGACCGCAGTCGCAGTGGCAGCCAGTCGCCAGAACTCATTTGTCTAGACGACACCGAAAATGAGGACTCCCCCGAGAAGCCAGAGGAAGCCAAGGCAGCAAACGTAACTCCCATTAAAGAGAACAAAGCTAAGATCATAAAACCTCCACCAGCAACAGAGCTACAATTTGAGCAGCAGGAGAATGAGAAGTCCAACGAAAATGGTACCTCCGCCGAGCTGGAGGAGTTCCTCATGATAAAGGAGCCCAAGCAGCCAAGTCAAACTGGAACTGAGTTGGATAAGCTCACCGCCAGCTTGGAGCTGGAGCAGGCAGATACAACTGTGGTGCAGCAGGATGATCAGGTGGAGGAGCGACCTATGGCGGTGGATGCCACACTCAAGCGGCGACGTTCCGTGACGCCACCATTAAGCAACGAAAAGCAAAGAATTCTTGGCGATGAAGATGATACTATTGAATTTCTGCCAGCTGTCGCACAGAACTCGGTAGAGGCCACTCCAGTACTCAAATTGCAGCCTTCGGAGCTGTCACCTAAAGCGGCCGTCGTCGCCCCAACAGTTGATACCATCCACAGTCAGCCATCCTTTAAGCTCAGCTCACCATACACACTAGCACCTCCTCTCGGACCCAACGCCAAGCAGACCCTCAATTTGGGCGCACTTTCGGACAGCTTGAACACTCCAACACCGCCAGCTGTGCCCATGGAGATCTCCTATCCAACAGAGAATCTGCCGCATATCACAAAGAGTAACAATGTGATAGCTATGCCAGAGCAGCCGGCTCCATCAGTTCCAGTATATGGTTCTTCCGTATACGCATCCCAATTACGGTGGGCTTCTGCTCCTCAGGCTGCTCATGCTCCGGTCAGTCTTCAACGCGACGCTTCAGCTCACAATGATCCTCCACGAGCTGCCATCCGACTTCAGAGTGTGGCATCAGGATCTGGTCAAGCTCCAATTGGTACGCAACGAGTTCTACCAGCTCACGTTGGTCCACCTCGAGCCCCTCAACCGCCGACACGAGTTCCACTGCAGGTCAACGTCCCACGAACCTCTGCTCCACTGCAGGTTAACGCCCCACGAACCTCTGCTCCAGTGCAGGCTGATCCCCCACGACACACTGTTCCACAGCAGGCTGCTACTCCATTACGACAAACTCAACCACAACAGCAGTCACCAGCGGCTCAAGTGCAGCAAGAACAACCCCAAGTTCCGGTGAATGCCACCAGCTTTGCGATGCCGCAACAGCCGCAGCCACGTCGTTCGGAGACGGTATCCACCCAGACGCAGGCTTCTCAGCCGGAGTCTCGCCAAAAGCCAGCTGCTCCTGATCTCAAAAACAGTGATGCCAACTTCCATTATCGTTTAAGGGAGTTGTTCACAGAGTTGGACTCGATCTTTAAGGATAAAATTGATTCGGTGGATCTAAATGAAAAGTCTTTAATCGATCAAATCGACGAAGATGTAAAAACGCTGGACAAACTCTTGGCCGCTAAGGAAGATGAGTGGAATCGGCTATACCACCTCCGTTGCATGAAGATAGAGCTTCGTGGACGAGTGGAGCGGAAGAAACGTATGTCCATCATCCAGAAGCTGATACCCTCGATGCTTCCCAAAGGCTGCAGCACAGAGGAGTTGTACGGTATGCAGACGTCGCTGTTTGGGGAAAATATTCTCAAACTGGCCTTCAAGTCAGGCCCAACGTCCATTGAGGAGATGCTAAATAAAGTGGAGGTCAACCAGAGCAATATCGAAAGACTGCGCGAGTGAGTGATGAGCTGTAATGTGAAATTCTTCGAGAGAATAATTATTATATACCTTTTGCAGCGTTATGGGTTTAAAAGAAAAAGCACCAGCTCCATCTCGTTACCATTGGGAGAGAGAGGAGAAGCCGCAACAAAAACACAACAAAAGAAACTCTACGCCCCTTCAACAGGCATTGATCCGCGAGTACCAGGATGCGGTAAAAGAGGAACAGTATCTGGAACGTAACTGTGACTTGCCTCCGGTTAATAAGAAACCTCGGCTCCTGCGTCCCCAAGATAGGTAAATATGTAATATTTTATAATATTTATTCTTGTGACTTAAAACTTTTTATGAAATGTTTATAGATACGCTCATGAGATGACAAACTCTACGCCCAATCTGGCCGCCTCCTCCTCCAAAAATAGTTTGGGTTCAAAAAATAGTTCACACTGCAATCAAATATCCCCCCTGGACAACTTTTTGGGGAATGAGTCGCAAATCAAGCCGCTATCCAACAGCAGTCCCATAGTCTCCCAGCGTTATCTGACCAAAAGACAGGTTAATCAACATTTAGATACCAATTATTAAAATGCCAGTTTTATGAACTCCTCTTCCTCTCTCCAGTGCGAAGAATTACATTCCTCGAACCCAGAAATGGATGCCGAACTCTGGGGAGTCTCGGACATGGCTAAGTTTCTGGAGGAAACGCAGCGCAAGGATGCATCCACCACAAATGGAAAGGAGAAGAAAGTTTGCCAACACTGCCAGGTCTATGAAGCAGTATTCGAATGCACGAGCTGCAGTAATCAATGGTACTGCAGCAGTAAGTGCCAGGTGAGTCTAATTTGATACAGAATTCCAAAAATATACTTTAATGTTTTCCTTTCACCTTCACTTTTGCAGCTGGACGCATGGGACTCGCATATGGAATATTGCGGCAATTAATTGGATCAGCATTACTACGTCTATACAACTATAACTATACCTTCTAGCGTACTCCTCCATTTACTCAACCTTGTAAGTCATTCTCATTTAAAAAAGTTACCACAGGACATAGATCGACATTATGCGCATTCACCATATATTTTGTACTTTTACCAAATCGTCGCTCACATACAGATAAATAAATCAAATCCCATATGGAATACATAATATTGTGGAGAGAGAATCCTTTAGATCATAGGAATTTTCAATTTTCCCAGTCATTGATTAATTAAATTTTTATTTTACATTAATTTCTCTTTTAATTAAATTAAAAAATCATTTCCCAAGACACTTGGGGTATTTACAAAATTTCTAAAACGCATTCAAAAATGTTCCTTATTCTTTCACAAACATATCTATATGATTTGCGTATCGAAGTTGTATTTTTCGTTCCTTTAAAAAATTTATTTATTCATTCAAGAAATACTTTAAAGTTTAAACATAACTGTTGGGTTCGTTGGCTCTTCCTAAAGTGTGGTATCATTAAGTGAAGGATTTAATATAATCTTTACAAATAATTTATTAATTTTTAAGTTCTTAAAATAATTGAAATAAACCATATATAAATATTATTCAACACTAAAAACGATTGACTGCAATCGATAGAGATTGCCCTGAAAAGGCGGCTAACGTTCAATGTTTGATTTTCGAACCAAAGTTTTAGTTGGACTTTCATCTATTGATTTCTTTAATTTATTTACTCCGCTGTCGCACCTGGCACAACAGCTTGATGTCATTAATATGCAGCCGGAGGGGCTGCCTCCTGGACCAGGGACCACGTCGCAATTTCCGTATCCGCAGCTGCCGGCTGCAGTGTAGCCGGAATTTCAGATTTGGATTCCACACCGCGTCAGCCGAGGCGGCGGGTGTGACGCATTTGTACGCGTATTGCCACCATAATCGAATGCTCTGCTTGGTGCTGTGCTGAAATCGGGATTCGGATGGCGAGTGGGTGGGTTTTAATGGGTGTGTGTGTATACGAGGGGTGGGGGTTGTAAATATTATTGCTGGCCCTAAAATTTATCTTCGGGGAAAAACAGAGAAATGGAAACACTTACCATGTAGACGGGCAAGACGTAGAATCGCTTGCACTCGCGCCTTATGAAATTGAAGGCGATGGGCCGGCGATAAATGGAGGATACCTTGGTCAGGTGCGAGCGGATCGCACTGGCGCTCGTCGATCGCTGCAGACGCTGGAGCTGCAAAGAGTTTTGGCACGAGCGCAAGCGCACGTAATTAGTAGTTTCTCAGACAATTGAACAGATTTTTTTTATTATTATTTTGAGAACACAATTAATATGCGCAAAATGTTTGCAAAGAATTCGCGTCAAATTTGGCTTGCAAATGATACGAATCGAGCGGGGCTTCCACTTGAGTGCAGATGAGTTATGGCGAAACAAATAAATAATAATAAACAATTCGCTGTTAGGCACAGGGCTAGGGCTATTTTGTGTATAAATTTAACACCTGGCACTCGACAACAATGCAAGCCGAATTGGGCGGTTCTGTTAATAGCTTATTTTATTATTCAAATTTTGTATTTTGTATCTAATTGTAAAACCTAAAAAAAGCAGGCGTTTCTTACAAATTGTTTGGCTTTATAACGAAACCATTTCACAGTTTCTAGAGAATCTTTTAGAATAATTAAATGAAGTTATTTCTTTGAGTATTTCTTAAATCTCTCCTTTAAAAAATAAATCTACATTTTTGGAAACTTTTTACCTTTAAATGTTAATTACTACCCTTATAAATATTTTTTGTATAAAATTATCACGATCCGATATTTATAACAGCCATAAAGCTTAGCCTTTGTTTTTGTTTTGCTAAAAAATAAATATAAATTTGTAAATACCACATGATTCCTTATATTTTGCGCCAAAAACTTCCGCTTATAAAGTTTATCTTATTTGATAAACACACTTGTGAATGAAATAATAACATATAGTCATTATCTAAATGATTTATTATCTTCCTTTTTGAACTAGAAATCGGTATCTTAAGTTTGGAAAACTTGAGTAAATTGGCTGAGGTATTTATTATTATTCACTGCGGATCGGTTGGGCAAGGGCCGGGGATGGGTGTGGGGATGTCCCTGAACCTGCTTATCAATGCGGCAACTCGAAGTCGTTGTTGTTGTCTACTTAATAATAATAACTATAAAAATTACAGTTGCAGTCAAAGTACTCAAAGTGCGGTGAGCAAGAGTAATAGCGACAGGCCAAGTCATCCAACTCGAAGTTGATAGCAATTAAATCCGCTTATCAGTTTAGAGACGCGATTTAAATTAGCACCCCAATGGAACCCACTCCCGCCTTTCCCCTTAATCTCTGCCCCGTTCCTCTCGCCGTCTCGGTTTCTTTGTTATTTGTCCTCGTCGATGACTACACGCCGACAAGTTTTTGCTATTATTAAACAGTTTTACAAGCCGCTAACGCTCAGAAATTGTTGCTAATTAGTTGAACCGCGCACGCCGGCGCAGCAGACCTTAAAAGCGACCCATTGGGGGGAGAAGGTGGGGTTAAGCGGGGCAACCGCCAAGCAGTGCCAGCTCTAATAAAGGTGCGCGCTGGTATTTGTGTAGCCCAGGGCACTCGAAGAAAAGCTCTATCATACTTTTAATAAAGCTGTCAAAGTAAGCAAAAATACGCTTCGCTAAAGGAGACATTATCTAAATAAAATTGATAAGTTTAATTCACATTGAAAAAAATCGTTCTTTCCATTAATATCAGTATTACACTTGAATATTTCCCTTTTTCTTAGTGTAAAATATTATAGAAATAAATCAATTATAATTTTAAATAATACCTAAGGTAATGGCCCCAAAAATTTTAATTGGACAATTTAATGTAAAATGTTTCGTCTATATAAGCTTTTCCCCCAGGTTAATGGCTAAATTATATATATATGAGTCATTTGGCTATTTCTTTTTCTTTTAGTGTACGTGTCAAGATTGGAGGCAATCGAGCTGAATTAGATGCTGCTGGGGTCGATTGAGTGCAGATCAAGCGATGAGCAATCGAGTGCGCAGGGTGCAGCGTGAGCCACACAATTAAATTCTTCGGAAAAATCTGAAATTATGAAAGGACCTTGAATGCAATTGCTCTATGTAGGAATTTGCATTTGAATATATTCTGATTTTAGTGTTTCGTCAATCAGTGCGTATACGTTATATTCGAAGCAGTGCAAGTGAACAGGGTGAACTCCTTGTCAAGCAGCATCCACTGCTTGTTTTTGCCGTTATCCTCGCGTGTGTGCACTTTCACCCGCTCTCTCTGTGTCTACCCATCCCTCTCCGTCTATTGCCGTTGACAATTAACACAACAACAAAAGCGAATGCAAAATAAAACAAACAAAAACAAATCTAACGCTTCGTTTAAAGCGATTTGTGCGCGCTTTTTCATGAAATTTGTTGTTGTCTTCGATGTTGTGTATTAGGGGTATGTGCGTGCTTCGGGGTTTTTCGTCGAGCAGTCAGTGTGTGTGTGTGTGTGTGTGTGCCCCGTGTCCGTTGGGTTGGCACTATCTCTATCTCTATCTGACCGACAATATCTAAGCCCGATCGAGTGCGCAGGGTGTCGCTATGTTTGCATTCGTGTGAGTGTGCGCCTATGATTCAGCGTGCTTAACAACAACAACAGTAAGCAAATAGCAACATTAAGGTGAAAGTCACGACATTCTGGATACCCGTTAGTTTGGTACATCAAATGATTTGGAATTATAATGTTTTGAAATCAGAAATTCTTCTAAAAAACTTTATTACCTGGTTATATTTTAAGTAAATTTATATAAACTGAATACTAAATAAAGTATAATAATTTAATTTCCTTTAAATAAATTAAAGAATACTGACCCCATTTAAAATTTTCCAGCCTGCGTTCTCTCAAGTCCTAAAAATGTTAAGCTGGTCAACTAGTCGGCTAAGTAATTTCTATCAGAAAGAATACATCTGATGCATTTTATAGCATACTTTTTGACGCAATTACCATTGATTTTAAATATCTAAGGTTGAGATACTTTTTTAATTAATAAAAAAAAAAAGAAACTATAGAATTGAATTAAAAATCGATCATGGCTAAGCTTAAAATATTCGGATTTTTAAAATCGACATGTAACATACTGATACATTTATATGACAATTTTTTCGACAATCATACAAAATCAAAAATCGCATATCTTAGCCAAAAATGCATTAATTTTAATTCGGAAAGCTGTCCTATGTTAGTTTTTGCTAGATTAATAAATCTGCGTACTCAATTTAAAATTTAAAAAAATTCAAATTTTTGTTAAATTTTTTGGCAATTTTTATCCCCTAAAAAGTTTTGAAAAAATTTGTAAATTTTTTTTTGTACCGGATATGGCTAGATCGACTCGGCTTGTGATGCTGATCAAGAATATATATGATTTATAGGGTCGGAAATGACTCCTTCACATGGTTATAAGCTTCTGACTAAAATTATGATATCCTGCACGGGTGTAAACAACCTTAAGTATTTAAAAACCCTGCCAAGCTTCTCCGTTTCATAACACCTGAAAGTGCTCATTATACCCTGCATACTCCACTGGTAGGAGGTAATTTCCAACTCCCACCCGAATGAATGGCGGGCGCTGTTGAGTTCCGTTCTGTTTTATTCTGTCAGTTCATTTCTGTTCGGGTTCCGATCTGCTCAGTTCAGTGTCGGTTCGACCACGGTTCGTGTCGATTTCGAATTCGCAAACCCAAATCAAAATCAAAACCGAAAGCGAAAACCCAGAACCCGCCACTGTTCGGGAGCTAGCTGACCGGGTTGTGCCGTTCCGATCCGTTGTCGTTGGGTCTTGCAAGTAAAATTCATGTTAATGAATGTTAATTTATACATTTGTAAGAATCTAAAATCTGTTTTTCCATACACAACAATTATTGGCGCGTCGCAGTCGCTGTGGCGGTGATTTCAAATTTGGAAACAGTCGCTCCCGAAACGTCGTCGCGAACGCAACGAGCGGTGAAGCTATATCTTTAGCTATATAATAACGGTAGCATAACGAAAAGGGTAACGATCCCATAGCCATAATGGATCCCGAGTTTGTGAATAAATACAATCAGGTCCTGAGTCGCCTGAAGCTCGTCGAGAACTTCGATGGCAGTGATCCTGGCAAATTGCCACAGTTCCTTCACAAAATCGAGGCCCTTATGCCGGCCATAAATAGTTTCGATGATTATTACAAGGCTCAGCTAATAGGACACATCAAGAATAAGTGCACGGATCGGGCGAGAGAGGCGGTCTTCACACGGCAGATGAGCGCTCCCGTGGGCAATGGAAATGGTGCCGGCAATGGACACCTACTGAAGGCCGAGTCCTGGCTGAAGCTAAAGGATCAGCTGCTGTATAACTATGCGGAAAGGGAGTCCAGCTATTCACTTATACACAAAATCCGCAGCGCTGTTTTGGATTCAAATATCGAGCTTTACTACCAAAAAATGGCCAAGCTGAAGCACAGACTGATCAACAGGAAGTTGACCCACAATGACACACTCTACGCATTGGAGGATATTGAAAGGATCACTCTGCAGGTGTTCCGTGATCATTTGCCTGAACCCACACACTCGATGATCCTGCGAAGGAATCCAAAGAGCATGGAGGAGGCCTACCGGTACATAGTCGAAGTGCAGCAGCAGTTCTACACCCAGAGCGGATCCCTGGCCAGTGACCACCAGGCGGCCACGTTCAGCACCAGCCACAAACAGCAGGCCTATGGCGTGGGCATGGGCGGAGTGGGAGTGAGCACCGTTGGCTTGGGTGTGGGCATGGGCGCCGTGGGGCTGGGCCTCTCGTCCTACGCCCGCCAAATGTCCGACAAGGGTCAGCAGCAGAATAACTTGTCCAACAACAAGAGCTACTACAATCAGGCAGCTCCCCCGGTGGGCGCTGGCAAGAACCATCCCATGTTCAAGAGCATCGGCAATCCCACCTTCAAGTCCAGCTTCAGCTATAATGGAAGCAGCAGCTCTAGCATGGGATCCGGAATGGGTTACTCCAGTGGCAAGAAGGCGGATGTGAAGCAGAACTATCAGCAGCAGAAGAGCCAAAACTATGCAAAAACCTCCTCGATGAGTGGTTGGAAAAAATAAGGAACACAACGATCTCCCAGTGACCCGAACCGCTCACGATCCATGAGATAAGCAGACATAGATGCAGCGTGACCTAATCCCTTGGAGCCTGTGACTAAGCCAAGGCAAAGTGCTTGCCACCTCACGTAATTACCCAAACCTCACCCTCTAATGGTTCGATGATTGTACGGGGTGATGTGGCTGCAGATTATAGAATGTGAATATAGATTAAAGTAATGTGAATAATTATAGATGAGGATTTGCATCCTCAGAAGATGATAATGATGTGAATACAAATAAATGAATAATCTAATATATAAATGATACAGATAAATGTAATTACGCTAGCACTACATGAAAATAATACAAACCATGTGAATATAGATGAAGATAATACAAATAATAGAAAGTGAAGGTAAATAATAATAAAATAAGTGCGCATACTGATAAAGAATAATACATAGTACTGTAATTCAAACAAATAACAATAAAATATTTACAATATTATCAAATCTAATTAAAACGCTTAAAATTCATGAGAATTCATTATGAAGTTGATAAAACCCACAGCAAATGCTGATAACTTGGAGTAATTTACACTAATAACCCTTCGAAATCCCAGTGACATAAAAGTATTCTATATAAACACGAGCCTGAGATAATAGGAAATGCGCCTGTCGATATCGGTACAAGATAATGATGCAGATCAAAATGATTCAACGGATGATGGCCCATAATGATGACATCGATCGCGTGTCTATCAACGATGATCGATCCGCAGACAGTATGGACATGTTAATTATTAGCTCATAAGATGCGAGTGTACATAGCCCCACGCCTCAGCCTCAACCTCCAGTCACATTACCGCCTATATCTCCCACAATTCCCCCCATATATACATATATATATATATATATATATATTTTTTTTTAACAACAATCGCCCACCTTTCAAATTTGTTTTTTTGTTAACAATAAAGTGTAAAGTCTAACAGCCTTTTTGTGTATATTGTTTTGGCCAGCGGTCAGGGATTTTTTCGGCCAGTGTACTATTAATAGATGGATGCTACTTACTATCTGCTGGGCACTAGATCGACCCGAGTTCCTCTGATCATAGCCCATATCCTGGGGTGTGGTTTCTGCTTGCTGCTCCTGCAGCTTAACTGCCTTGGGCTTGGCCTTCTCCTTGGTATCCTTTTCGGGTTTGCCAAAGAGTCCTCTCTGCTCCGCTCTTCGGATTAAGTACTTCTCGTTTAGATGGGTCAGAGTTTTCCGCCGCACCAGGGATAGATAGCTTCCCGTCACCTGCTGCTTAATACATTCGTCCTGATTAATGCATATATCCGGCACTTTGTCCTGGACAAACTCATCGATATCCGGGGTTACTATCAAATCAATGCTGTCTACCCTTGGCATAGGGGGAGCTGTTGATGCCGGCCCGGAGCCTGGAGCTGGCACCTCGGGCTGATTCGATGGCTTATCCTTTTTTCTAGGCGAGTCCTTGCTCATCGCAGCCGCTGGAATGTTGGCTGCTTCCGCTTCGGCTAAAGCCTCCAGACGCTTCTGCTCCTTGTAGGCATTGCGATGCTTCTCCAGAGCCAGTTTATTGATCAGTTCCAGGACATGCTTCACCATATCCTCGTTTTCGGTGCCCACAATGGAGTGCGTTTGGTAGAGCACAAACTGCACCTGGGGACGCGACATCGACATGGTCAGGGTCAGCAGCTGCTCCTCTAGGATCATGGCCACCCGTTGGCGACCCTCATCACTGACCTCCGATTCGGTAAGAACTTCCAGCATACTGAGATCCCCACCGCGGGAACATATCAAGTCTATGGGATCCGAAATGGCGCTAAAGGAGTTCGGAGGTGTGGCAAATATCCCAACCACAGTCCGAAATCGATTGGACTCCATGGGGAATGAGGTGAAGGCATCGCCAAATAACCTGATATTGTTTACTCCAATCAATTCCATATATCTGCGATAATCCTTTAGATTCGCACCAGCTCCGTAGACATAGAAGTTGTTAACACGATTAATGGAATAAAAAAGGGCTGCCAAATAGGCAGTGGATCTTGGGGATCCAATGTGAGTCTGCAGAATATCACCATCCAACTCAAAGTAATCCATTAACTTGGACATTATGGCTGGTCCAAAGGTAAAGTTCTTGTCCTGGAAAGAAGGTTAAGGTTGAGAGTAAACAAGAAAGTGAGCTAATATATAAGATTTAAAGGATTGAAAATGATCGAAAAAGGGTCGATAATACCCAGAGTATAAAAAGGTATTAAGTTTTACTAAAATTGTTTAATTTATTACCTGCTTGCTGCTAGTTCGTAAACCAGTTTTTTTTTGTGAGAAAAATGTCTTTACTACATAAGTACGTGTCGTTCCATTAATTTTTATGAATACTTAAATGTCGTTCTTATTTTCTTAATTGTTTTAAACTAACTTTTTGTCAATGAAAGAAGCAAAGTCATTTCAAAATAGAAAAACAAATTAATGAAAACCAATTACAACACTGTTTAGTTTTCTTAAACATTTAAATATTACGTAATTTTAGTTTATTTACTAGAAATTTATTCAACACATATATAGTATTAATCTTTAGCTTAAATTTGCCAGTGTCCAAATGTGATTTAGTAATCACCAACTAAAATGATAAGTTTATAAATTATCTCTGGAAATTATGTATCCTTTTAATAAAATAAGATTAAATATAGATCAATCTTATTATGCCTTTTATTAACTAACTAAGGAAGTTAGAATTGTTTCTGGAAACAATGACATAACAACATTAGTAGTTATTCTTAATATTATTCATTATAAATTGTTCCCATATCTCACCTGCATTATAAAATAATGTTTGGTCATCAGCACAGATTTGGTGAACTCACTGCGGTCCTTGGGTATACAGGATATGACCAAAGGACAGATATTGTCCCATTTACAATGCTGCTCCAGCAGCGGCTGCTCATCATCCGGACCGTGGACCGTAAAGCCCATATCGGTGAGGATCTTATCCGCCTCTTCTTTATTGCTATAATATCATATGCATTATTTTTTAAAAAAGTTGACTTTTATTTTCCACCGACTCACCGCACTAAGAACGGATTAATCCATCCCGTGACCACGGGATTGGCTGCAGCAATGGCCACCTTCTCGTTCTGCAGGTGAATGGGTAGCAACTGTGAGAGCCGGAGAGCTCCCACCCGTATCCGCATCCGGGAAATTGAGGCTGCCAAGCGGATGCGATGCTGCCAAAGAACATCCGCCAGTTCTGTTGAAAATTTCTGATTATATAGTTTATATAATAGGATTAAAAACCCACCTGTAACTTCCGCCTCCTTGTAAAGACTTGCTTGGAGTTCCTTCTCCTCGGAGTTGCGACCTTTGAACTGGCGGTCGTAGAGTTCAAAGAGCATTAACCAAATTCGTTGCTCGTCACTTATGTACTAAACAGTATAGATTAAAAGTAAAATAAAATAATAAGTTAAATAAAAACTATGACTCCTTACGTTGATTTTGCAGTCTGTTAATTTGCAAGAAAGTATGCAATAAATTTTAACACTTCTCTTATCCTTTACTCACCTCCTTGTGTTGCTCAAAAAAGCAGACATCGCTTAAGGCATTCGACATCACAACCTTATCTAAAAAGAAACATTAATAAATATTCAATAAAAAACAAAAATAATGATCCCATCGGATCTACTTACATCGAAACACATCGTAGATTAAGGAGTAAGCCAATCTCATCTCATGCTCGTTTTGAAAATCCACCATAATCGGTGGTTTGCGAAGCAGTTTGGCGGCATTGGCGATAGTGGGTAAAGTCCAACGGGCTCCGGCTTTCAGCTTGATCTTCACCGTGGTGGAATGACAGTACTTCAAGGTCCTACTGCGTCGTCCATTGGGACTAATACCTGGGGTAAGGATCTTGGTGATACGCAGAGGGTCAAAGAGAGGTTTCTCTTTCTTATTGATGTCCTGTAGAGATAACGTTTCGTCGGAGGAGTCGTTCACATGACGCTGAATCTCCAGAAGCATATAATACATCTTGTCCTGCCACTCCTCATCGCTGGGAAGGTAGATCTGTTTGGTCTTTTTCAGTTTCTTGCTCTGCTCCTTGAAGATGGCAGGATATACAGAGAAGATATCGGCCAAGCTCAGAAAGAATAGTTGATTGGACATTTCGGAGTTTTATACTTCTGGTTAAGTAAATCTATTACAGTTTCCAATAGTCAATGTAAGGGAACGTTTAGCCTATAAATTCGTATGTATATGTATGTATAACGTTTTTAATTACCAATTAAGCCAAACAGCAAAACCACAAAAAATAGGCTTATGGGTTGTTATTTCGAATTACAACAATTTGATTTAATACTAGGTCGAGGATAAATATCTTTACAGAGCTTCAGCACGATCAGACAATTAAAATAACTAGGCTATAAAAAGGTAGTGCAAATATAATGTAAAGTTAATGATTAAATGTTTGATAAACACACTATAAACGTGTAAAAATTATATATGATAAACATATTTTACCACTTTAATAAATATAGCACGGTCGTGTCCATGTAAGTTGAGATAGATTATAGCTCAATGCAAGAGCTTAAGATATACTTTAATTTAATTCTTTGAACTATTTATTTAAAATCACTTCAATATGTATACACAGAGTCACTGGTAATCCACAGAAAGGACCCTCCTATGAATGCAATTCACTCAGGATGAACTCGAAATAACGGTAAAAGCCAGCAAGATAAACACCGCAAAATAACGGGTAAAAAGAGCAGTAAAGGACGAGTAGTTAAGGACGAGGAGCTAATCCGAACCGAGCTGTTGCAGTGAACAACGGCAACTGGATGAACGGAGGAGCCTCCTTTCGATGGCGTGTCTTTCATCTCCCTTTTCTTTTCTGCCCCACCGCACCACCACCCACCCCCTTGGCAAGTCCACAAGCCAATTCCAATGACAATGACAACTGCTGATTTTCATTTCTCAGTCTCGTTCTCTCATTTCCATTTCCATTTCGTTCGGTTCGTGCTTAACACCAATTCAATGCTGGGAGCCTCTGAATTCCAAATCGACATCAAACCGGGCTGCATGCTCCATGGAATTACTTATCTATCTCTTCCACACACACACAGTCCCCCTAAGGCCCTCTGCCTGCCACCCACCTGTCGCCGCATGCAACGTGCACGCCAATACTGGCATTGCTCTGGCAGCTGGAAAAAAATATTTGCCACAAAGGACAAACGAAATGTTACCGTTACAACGAATAGGTAACGGTTTTTTTGGAAAAGGTGTATACAAAGGTGATCAGAAAACTAGGATCTTGAAGTTTTTTATTTTGAGATGTAGAAGTCGTTAAGAAATCCCTTTCCAATTACTCATACCAACATTATACATTAAGTATCAAAATATTTTTGATTTTAAATATTGTTTAGTAATAATAGTAGTGTTATACCCTAAAGGTTATAAAGTATTTCCTATATAGTGTCTAAATCAAACTCTAATTTAAAACATCATGATCTCTTAGAATATTAGTACTTTCTCTCCACTAAAGTGTGTATTACAATACCTGGAATACCTAATGCCTTGACTGCAGCTGTAACTTGACGGATTTTAGATGGATCGAAACGATATCACACTTACCTTTTATTTTTTACGACCCCTGCACGCTTGGCGTAATAAATTCCGTTTGCCATATTCGCATGATTTGCTCTGATTGGAATTCGTCTTCAATAAATTGCCAGAAATGTCGCTGACAGAGACACACACCGACTTAAGGGGCGGCCTCTGAATGGGCCTAATAGTTCCAATATATATTCTACCGATGTGTTTGAATTGATTAGTTTGAGGGGCTTAGAAGCCTAGAAGCCCCCTGCCATGTTGTTTGATGTTTGATGGCTTCGAAGCGTTCGAATCGAACATCAAATTAAATGTTGATTAGACAAAACTTCCCGCCGAACTCCAGGGAAATGAGCGAGGGCGGTAAATTTATTGGCCTAGGTCAAATATCGATTATCGCCCCGTCACTCTACGGTGTATATAATATATTGGGTCAGATTGGATTGAATGTCAATTTGATTGGCATATCTGGGTGCAAATAAAAATATATATATATAAAGAGAGGAAGGAAGGCCCCTTTTCTGGTCTCCAATGTGACCTTGAGCTGTGGCAGAGGGAGAAAGTTCAGTGCTGTGTTTACTTCATTTCGCCGGAGAACGCCGAGTCTCTAATTGAATTGCTGAGCTTTGGTTAACTCCTTAACTGAGATCAATTATAATTGGAAAAAATCATATCAATTAAAAGTGGCCCAAAACTGATTCATCAACGACTGATTGTTGACCACGAAAACAGTGACCACACAAAATAATTTGGGTGCCAGCTCCACCTCCTCCTCCCCTTCTTCTCTTTGGCGGTTGCTATCGGGGAAATATATTGCCGAGGGCTACTATGACTGTTTAGATATGAATAAGCAAACTTGAATTAGAGCTATCAGGGGTGTATGTCCAAAGATAACTCGGGTGTCATAATTAAATTTTTCCCGTTGTCTTCCATAGCCCTGTAGCCTTTGCATTCGCGGCGTAAGCACCCCGGCTTAAAGTAGGACCGATGCGACTGTCTTTATCGGGACAGTGCGAGGGAGCCGCCGTCGTAAATCAGTTGGTCTCACATCGGGGGCTTTTGTTTTGTTTTTGTTTTTGTTTTTATTAAGAAGCATATTTATTATATATAAGATGTATGTAATACAATAATTTTTCTTTCTGTCGGGGTTGCGCGCTTTTCTGCCTTTTTTTACGCTTTTTTTTATGGGTTTCGGTTTTCATTCGGTTTATCGTTTTCGTTTTTTGTTTTCTTTGCTTTATCCATTTTATATAATCATATAAAACACTGAGCTACAATACAAATATTGTGATAAAAACTTACAACATAACCTTTAATACATAAAAATACTTGCGTAGTCTACAAATCGTATCGTTATAGAGAGATTTTCATCTGCTTTCTTCCCTTCCTTGGATCGATCGATCGGTCGCCCGCTCTCCTCTCTTCTCCTGCTTCTCTTCTTGTTCTTCTCATTTTTTTTTTTGCTGTGGGTTGACCTTCTCCTAAATTTGTTTTCACTGCTTCTGTCGCGCCTCAATGGGTTCTGTATTTGTTTTCGTTTCTTTATTTCTCATTTTATTTCTTAGTTGTGTGAGTTTTACCCTATTAAAAGATTTCATTCATTCTCCAACTGTGGCTACTGATGATTCCTTCGTTCTTTTTTTTAAATTTTTTTATGAGAAGTTAACAAACAAAAAAAAAAGTAGGAGGAAAACAATAAACACCGAGGAATCCGTGTGTGAAAAGGGAGGAGGCCGACTGGATGTAAGGACGAAAGTGAGTTAGGAGAAAGAGCGAAAGGTGACCTCCCCGCAGTGAATTCTTCTTTCAGTTCTTCCGTTTCTGCTTTTTCCCCATGGATGCTTTTTGTTGTGTTTTCTATGAGTTGTTGATCGTTTTTTTTGCGTTTGTTTTTGTTGTCTGCAGCGTTTTTAATTACAGTAGAAATTATGTTTATATTTATATATATATTTGCATAATCAATATCATTAAAAATAAATCGTATAAAAACACAGAAGACAGTTGACAAAAATAAATGAGGCGTACATAATATAATTTTGTTCAGTGGACGTACCAAAAAATGGGGAATTTACAAAAAATAGTTACAAATTTGTATAAAAATATTACAAATAATTTTGTTCGTATCTTGTATCTTTCGTATGTGTTGCCGAGTATTTTTAAGATTCATTTTTGGTTCGAATGCATTTGATTGTTTATTTTGTGTGTGTTTGTGTGTTGAAACATCGATAAAGCTCCTGAGCATCTCATACGAAAAGAATGATTTTAGTAGCAAAAAAATCATAATACACAGTACACAATTACAATAATATTTATATAGAAATAATATATATAATATAATAGAAGAGCCAACATACATAGTTCTTATGTTCTGTTTCGTTTGTTATTTTATACACATCTTTATGCATAATGGGGGGCGCGTATATAAGTTTTATGTTTATAATTATAAGTAATAAATTTTATCCGCTTTTTGTTTAATTATTTGCACACGAGAATCAAAAATTACTATTTGCAATCATATATATATAAAAAATAAACTTAATTGCCGTCATTCCGTTATATCATTCCTATACCATTCCCATTGCATGCCATCCCTACTACACCGTCATCACTGTATATATCATATCATATCATATCGTATCCTCCTATATATAGCGTACTGGCTGCGGATCCTTTTTCGTTACTTTAAGCTTAATCAATTTTGGAAGAGTAAACAATACCATCGAGTTTGCAATTGTTGCTGCATATGCTATGTGTGTATGTGTGTGTGTGTGAGTGAGTGTGCTTGTGTTTTGTGAGTGTGGATGAGTGTGTATTATATAGATCGCGATTTGAATGAAAACTAATGATTAATGCGTATTGTATGCTGTTCTCAACACCTTCCTTTCCTGTCCTTGCCATCCTTCCTAAATCGCTGGCTTCACTCTTCTTTTTTTACTCACATTTTCTCACTTTCTTTGTTTTTTCTTTCTTTATTCGAGTACTTTAACTAATTTTTTATAATTTCTCCCCGTTACTCTTCGCATTCATCTTTATCTTCTTAATATTTATACGTATAAACTTTTATAATTTTATACTAAATGGTTTTTACGGTTTTTTTTTGCGTTTTTTGTTGAATTTTTTTCTTGTTGTTTGTTTTTTGTTTCTTGTTCTTGTAATACAAACGTCGTCGTGTATATATATAAAAAAAGATGTCCAAAGTTTTACGTTACGTTATTGTATATACTTTTTTGTTTGTTTCTTTTTGTTTTTTGTTTCTCATTACTTAGTGGATCGTTTCTTTTTGCTGATGGTTTTTGTTTTTTTGCCTGCTTTTGCTTTACACAGTTGTCCTAGGTTTTTGTAAATGTTTGTTTTTTGTTTTTCGAGTGGTTTTCTGATGTCTGAATGCTTATATATGAGAGCGCAGCGCCTAGCTATATAGGGCCTTACTATATAGTATAGTACTACATATGTATATATATATAATGTGTGTGTATGTGGGGTGTTGCTTTCTTGTGTTCTCTCGATCCATACACATATATACTAGATATATGTACGCATATAACTAACGGCGAATTTACTTTGTTTCCTCCTTCTCTTTGTTCTCCTCGGTCGACTCCTTCTCGTTCGACTGCAAAGTGTAAGAGAAATGGGTTACAATTTTATGTAATTGGGGAGGTATAGGTTCTTAGAGGGTCTTTCTTCTTTGAATTAAGTTTGAATAGTAGTAAGCTATTTCATTTTCTTTCCTAAACAGAAAGATCATCTAGAATCTGAGGCCAAAGACTTACCTTGTCCTTCTCCAACTCCTTCTCGATCTTGTCGCCTTCGGTACCCTCCTGTTCGTTTGATTTCTCCTGCTCGCCGCCTTCCTTGCCCTCCTTGGTCTCGGGTCTGAAAAAGTGAATTCAATTCAAATTAGAAAACAATCTGTAATATAATAATCCTCTCGAGTACTTACTCTGGCTTGGGAATGTGCGCGTTGAGGTCCAGCTTCGTGCAGATCTCATCCCAATCGGGGAAGCACTTGTCCTTCATGCGCGAAACGTGGCCAATCAAGTTGGGGCACTTCTCGGTCATGTAGTCACGCAGCGGATACGCAATGTCCTTGGACAGATAGTGGAGCTGCGAAAGCACGGCAAAGGCCACCACATCCAGGGTGGTGGGCTCATCGCCAAAGAAGAATGGCTTGCAGTCGAGCATCTCGCTGAGCACCTTCAGATCGTTCTTGCCGAATTCCTCGATCTCCTCGGCGCTGTGGACGCCAATGCCGTGCGCCTTCAGCTTCTTTGTGCCCTGGAACCACTTTTTGTGTTCAATAGTTGTTCGTTTGCCGTACAGCAGAGTTTACGGATGATGATGATGGGGGTTACAAGGGATGCACAAGCATACGTTACGGGTGGTTGTTTTTGGAGTGCGAGTTATTTTTTGTTTGTTTGTTTGGGGATTCGAGGGGAGGGCAATACGCATTACACAGTTAGATGTTCAAAACCAAAGGAGTATGCAAAAAAGAACGAAAAAGAAAAAAGAGAAAAACCATGCAAGAGTTAGTGATAAAATAACTATTTGTTTCCCGTTTGGGTTCTCATTGTTTTTGTTTCGTTATACGGATGCTTGGGTTTCTTTTTAAATTTATTTTTTGTTATGTGAGAACCGATATCGTGACATAAACAAATCTAACCCGTAAAGGGATCGATCGACTGTTTATGCCACGACTTTTCGGAGTAAACCATGTGCGGGGGATGGCTGGGTTGGTGTTTAGAGTTTTTAGTTCTGTTACTGCTAGGTAGGTGCAATATAATATGCCACCGATTGCTTCTTAAGCGTAATTTAGCGTTCGAGTACATTTGTTTATTTACACTACCCATCCATCCCCGCCTCATCAGCCAGGCAGCTCAAAGGAAGCCTCTCCAGTTTTGGATTACAATTGAAATCTAAACAAAGTGCGGATATCTTCAGTTTTAGGAACTGGCTGGAGAGGTTGAGCGAGCTGCTGGCACAACGGAATGTAACTAGATCAACACTACTTGAGCTACATTTACGTTTTCAAACTAAATATTGTTTCCATTGGTCTTCCGGTTTTCACTTTCACATCTGTTTTGAATTCATTTCCAGTGGATTCTCCTTCCGAAACTATTTAGGTTTAAGCTAGTATTATTTTGTACCATTTCCATTAGTTTATCTTTGTATTATTTCTAATATTAATAAGAACGATAGTTTATATTAAATAAAAAATGCACATCGATAAGTAATCAAAGGGAAAATTACCTAAAGGAAGGTTTTTAGGGATCATATTAGGTAAAATGACACAAAATAGTTATCTTTAAATCTATAAGAACGAATTGTGGTTAACAAGTTACAGATACTTAAAACCATTCTAAAGGTTATTTACAAATATGACCAAAAGTATGCAATGTAGCTTCTAAATTCTTATCAAAAATCATACAGAGAAAGTGAAACCCGGGGAGATCATGAATGAATGATTCCTCCAACTTATCCAGTTACCTTGCGACCGAACGTTATCTTAAAGAAGAAGTTCAGAATGGAGTTGGGCAGCCGCAGGCCGAGGGCATGCTGCAAGTTGACCTTGTATCCCTTGAGCACATTATCCGGATACTTGGCGCGCCAGTAGAAGATAATCCAGATGAGATGATTCTCCAGCATGGCAATCGTGGCGTACGACACATTCCTCTGCTCGGCGGTGAGTCCCGAGTCCAGATTCTTTTCATACTTGGACGACAGCTCCTTGATAATAATGGCCGAGTCGGCGATCTCCTCGCCATTTAGCTCGATGAACGGCAGCTGACCCTTCTTGGAGCGGAAACGCATCTTATGATCAACATTCTGCAAGAAACGGGGGCAAGAACATAAGAGTATACATTATTTTCCGTTGCGTTGAGGATGAGTAATTGTGCGTGGAATGTGGCATGTGGAATGTGGTGTGGGAGTGGGGGTTGTTTACTCCACCCTTTTCATTTTATCTGGGAGGGCAGCAGGCCGAGTCATGCAGTGAGAAAAATGATTAATACAACTGGTCATCACGGTGCACTTCCTGCTCCCCATTATCTTTTAGTTAGGCCTTCGTTTTATGAATAAAAACATTGGATTTGTAAATAAATATGGGGCATCCCAGATATACTGAACATGGATAATTATTTACATTTCTTATTTTTAATTAAGAATAGAGAATTAATAAAAATAAAGATAGCAAGACTGAACGGTTTTATCTCTGACAGATTTACATGTATGAATAACTCCATCTAAGATGAAACAACATCCTTATCGAAATTGTTTCTACATAAATAAAGGAGAGCATTTCCACCTAAAATTAAAACAATAAAATCACTGCTAATGGAAGGTCCTTCAAGGATGCTTGTAAATTGGAATGTCCATATGGAAACCCTTATAATTACTGTTGATTTCCTTTTTTCTCTCTGTGACTAATGTGAGAATGTAGTTCATCTCCCCGGTAAAAAATTCCGGACACTAGATGGCGCTCATGACATACATATAGCCGGCATATTGCGTACGTGTGTATCTGTGAGCGCGTATTTGGGTATTTCCTATGTATGCCAAGCAGATGCTGAAAAACCAACCACTCACAACCCGAAAAGCTAGCTGTACCTCCCAGGAACCCAAAAACCCAAAACCCAGGCTCGAAAACCGAAAACAGAAAACCCACCCAAAAAACCAACACCCCTAAAACGCACACAAACGCAACGAGCGGGCGCATGGACACAGCGGGAGGGAAACTGTGTTCCAATTGCCCGCTATTTGAACATTTTGACATATTCCAATGCCTTCCAGTGTGTACACACGTCCGCACGGGGCATTTGAACCGTTACCGTTATGGACTCGTGTGACAGTTATAGGCGGCGGTGTCCGGTTTTAACATTTTCGTTTTCAGCTTGGCTGCACAAATCTACATAATAATTTCTAATTAGAAATTGCTGCCATAACAAAAAAGCTAGCCGTTGGCATATTTTATGCTTTCGCGCCCTCTGCCGAAAAGGGAGAGGCAGGGTGTGGTTGCTCGCACTCACAGAGAGAGAGAGGAGCAGTGGAGTGAAGTGCAGAGAGAGAGAGCCAGAACAGGGAGAGAAAGAGCCGTATACAGAGAGATTTTTGCCTTCCAGCAGCATCGCTGCGAAAAGGGTGGAGTCCGTCTCGCATTTTTCAATTCCAATGATCCACAAAAAAGGCAGCCTGTCTGCTGCCTCTTCTTCTTTCCACTCCTCTGCTTCGTCTTTTTCTTCTTCTGCCTACGCCAACGCACATAACGGTTGCTGTCGGCAAAGAAGAAGATGAAGCAGAAGCCTCGCCGCCATACAATGCAAATATTTATTTTTTATTAAATCATTATGCCAATTAAGGCGGCGCGCATAATGGACCTTTACTTAATGGCACCCCTCAATTTTCGTGCAGTGTAAAAAGTCAAGCAAGAAGCAATGCAATTATGCAGCTCATACATTTGCATGCATACGTGTGTTTGTGTGTGTATCCACACCCTTGTACCAAAATCCCAAAGAGAGTAAATGAGCAAGCGAGAGATGTAGAGAGAGCTGGAACTAAAGAATTGCAGTCGAGTGAGCAACAACAAAGGCCGTTCACTGTGTTGTTTTAATGCAAATATGCGGTTTATTAATTAAAACAAAAGCAACAACAACAAAAAGAACTCCACTTCCTCCCATGCACTCACACATATAAGCGAGCGTACGAACGCACACACCAACATTCGCACACGTACAGTTGCAGCTAAAGGAAGCAGTGTTGCCAGATCTTAGGCAGTACTTAATATTTTAAAGCTGGCAATATTGCCAAATGAAATGGCGCGCCAGCATTTCCCATTTGAATATTAATAAGATTTTTGAGTGGCGTATGTGTAAGTAATGTGCATATGGCAAGGAAAAAAGTTGTATTAATTGCACAATCTACAATATGCGTCGCGACACCCAGGAATTCCAGCAATGCGGGCCACCGCCTCAGAAGCGAAACTGATGCATAGCTGCTGCTACTGCAGTTGTTGTTATTGTTGTGCCTGCTTCAGTTGCTGCTGTTGTTGTATTTGTTAATGGGTGTGAACAAAATATGCATTGGTTTATCATCAATAAAGAAACAACTTCTGCTCTTGTTTACACTGATGAATGTGTACACAAAAGCGAAGGAGAAAAATGCTGCAGCGGGGGGCAAACACAGAAAAAAAATGCAAGGGGGCCGGGTCGGAGCAAACTGGCTTAGTCAGTTGCATACAATATTCACAGTCACCCTCCCTTTTCAATGATTAATGCCAAGCAGCGGCAGCAACAACAACAAACACAATGATAACCAGAAATGTCAAAGGTCCGCAAGTTTGTTGAACTCTTTTTATGTTTTTCCTCTGTTATTTCTCCTATTTCAGGGTGTCTTGTTATCAGTGGAAATGAATGTGAAATGAAAATGGAAAGTAATTTCCAGCTGCGGGCCATTTGATGGACTGTCAATCATAATTGCTTCACTTCTTTTCGGCTTCTTTCTTGCCTGGAATGCAACATATGGCAAAAGATGGGGGAGAAAGAGCGGGAGAAGGCGCTGCGCTCACTTATCAGTTCTCCGGCATCTGGAAAGGCATCAATTAACATTCCTCCGGGGGCTCGTTTTTCATTAACCAATGTAATTAATAAGATTAAACAACAATTGCGTCTCTACGTTTTGTGCGGGTGACCGCACCCATTTCTCCCCTGCCCCTTCGACTATTCAAGTTTTTCCTCGACGCCACTGTTTGTGTGCGCGCCTATAAAAATATGAAAAATATGCAAACCGCATCGCGCGCTTTAAGCAGACAGAAAAAAACACAACTCAAGAAGAAATAAAAAGCGAAAAGCTAAAATGGAAGGCACCCAATGGAAGTCGTTGACAGTTGTTTCCCTCCTTTCCCCCGCCCCCAACTACTTCCACACTCTATTACAGCTACTTAACGGACTGGCAGATAAGCAGAGAGGACAAGGAGAAGTAGGAGAAGAGAGGGACGGGGACAGCTATTTCTGAGTCCGTCTTAAACTGCATCAATTTCTATTAAAAGCAATTACAAGCAGCAGGCAGGCTGCAGCAGCAAGAAGTCGAAGGAAAAGTGAAATAAAAAACAGTGCAGCAACAAAAGACAAAGAGCAGACACAAGACTCTGGCAGAGCGAGCGAGAGAGGGAGCCAGAGCCGGAGCTAGTGCTAAGCGAGAGCGAGACAAAAGGAGAGAGTCGGCAAGTGCAAAATTTGAAGCACGACTTCGTTTTTGCAAGGGGGAGGGGATGTGGTTTGGGGAAACAGAGAGTGGAGCATAAAGCAGCGACGCGACGTCGGCGTCGGCGCACACACAAATTTTATGTATACGCTGTTTTACACACACAGGACCAGGCTACAGGTTCACACACACACACAAAGGCGGTGGCGGCGGCGGGACGGGCCGAGAGTAAGAGAGAGCGCTAAATGTATCCCTTTTTCAGTTACGGGCAGGGCAGGTCACACATGCACACGCAGTACACGTACACGCAGGCTTAGCACACACCATGATGGCGGCGCTCTCTCTATCGCTCTCTCTTACTCTCCTACAGGAGTTGGGAAAAAATCTGTACCGCAAAAATGCGAGAAAAATCTGGGATACTTTTCGGGTTCTTAGGGTTTCCTAGGGTTTTTTCGTTAATTAGTGGCTTTAATCTAGCACCCACCTCGTATTTCAGGCCCACGAGACGTAGCCAGGTCTCCACCTTGAGGCAGTAGGGCGACAGCGAGGGCAGCAGCGGGGTGCGCGAGAACTGGTACAGATAGATGATGTCCTTCTCGAAGTTGGTCTTGTGCACATTGAACTTCTGGGCGGGCGGGGCATCCGTTTTGGCCGCCGCTACCGGTGCAGCGGCCGCCGCCGCCTCATCCTTCTTTGCATCGCCATCGGCAGCTGCATTCTCCGGCTTTCCATCCTCCTTCTTGTCCTCCGCATCACCGCCCTCTTTCTTTTCAGCCGGGGCGGCTGCTGCGGGGGCGGCTGCAGCGGCAGCGTCGCCAGCGGGAGCGGCTGGCTTTTCCGCCTGCTCGGCGGAGGCGCTCTCTGTTGCCGCTGCCACTGCGGGCGTTTCCTCGGCGGGTATTTGGGCCACTTCGCTTGCCATTTTTATGATTTGATTCTCGCTTTTATCTCGATCTTGGGTTTTTCTTAATTAGAGCTGCGCTTTGCTTTCTTCTGCTTCACACTTTTCCTGGCACACGCACACACAAGCACACGCGGAGAGATAGAGTGAGACGGGTAGCAATAGCAACCACCACTGCGCTGGTTTTCGGTTTTCGGTTTCAGCTAAAATGCACACATGCAGGATCTTGTCGGTTGTAAGAGCCGCCAACACCGGAAAATTTGAAAATTTTTAAACGAATCCGTGGCTCCGCACAAAATATTTTGTTCGAATTTTTTTTCGAAATGGCCGCTTGCACTCGTATTTATAGGTTTGTTTGCGAGCCGAAGGGAGCCGAAGTATGCCGAAGAGTGACGAGAGAGCGAACAGTGCTTCCCGCTTAGCTGGTTTCCCGCTAGAGTAACATAAGGGCCGTTGCCAAATTGCGTATACATTTTGGCTAAAAATAAATATTTGTATGTTTTCAACTACTTTCTATTTAGTTTCTATATTCTTATCATTTAAAATAGTATAACTAATTATATTTTTAACTGTAAAACTGTACATTTTGATTGTACTCTTTAAGAAATTCACGACAAAATTATATGGCTGCCATAGGAACGACCGGAAAATTTTAGGAAAACATTTATAATTTTTTCAATTTTCAACATATTTCATATAATTTAAGATATAGAAATAAATATAATTTCAGAGTTTCGGCATTAATTTTGAGAATATCGGACTACTTTATCATTTGGCTGCCATAGGAACGATCTTAACATTTGTTGGAAAACTTTTATAATTTCTGTAGTTTTCAACGTATTTTATATAATTTAAGATATAGACACAATGTATTATTTTTGATTTCCGGTTTAAGTTTTATAAAAATCGGACTACTATATCATATGGCTGCCATAGGAACGACCGGAAAAATTGTAGGAAAACATTTATAATTTTCTCAGTTTTCAAGATATTTTCAAATAATTTAAAATAACGGAATAATGTATTATTTCCGAATTTCGGCTTTAATTTTATGAAAATCTGACTACTATATCATATGGCTGCCATTGGAACAATCATAAAATTTGTCGACAAAATTATAACTTTTTCTGTTTTCAACATATATTTATATAATTCAATATATATTAATTATGTATTTTATGTAATTTTATGAAAATCGGACTACTATTTTATATAAATTTAAACCTTTTATGTTTTTCGAAATATTTTCATCTTCTCAGTGATATAACCATATTGCAAAATATCTGAATGTAAGATTTAATTCAATGAAAATAAAGTGATATAGCTGCCATAAAAACGATATGTATATAGTATACCATATAGCTTTCTTGAAGTTAATAATAAAAATTACTATATAAAACTTGTTAACAATAAAAACGAAAATCCTGTCACTGAATGCGCTTCCATCGATAGTATCGGCTCTACCATTATTTTATCAGCTCTTTTGGTAACACTAATTCGGGATTTATGCCATCCTTCAGTCATATTTTTCACAACAAAAAGGTTTTTGTTTAGTTTTACAGAAACGCAATTTTCCATTTCAATCAAATAAATAAGTTTACCACGAAATGGGAGCTGTTTTGGGCCTTTGCTCAGCCGCTCAGGTGAGTAAACTAATTTATAATTAGCCGGTGAATAGGTGACAACTTACCAGTGTAATCATTTTCATTTTGCGACAAATCAATAACATATGTTGAGAGGGATTTTCTTTAAAACTTTCTTATTTGTGTTTATTTTCATGATTTACATGTTAATTTCATTAATTTAATTCGATTTATAGATTTCCCGGGTTACTATTGATAATTTAATTATATTTGACAGTTTTTAATTACGGTGCCAAGTTTCAGTTAAAACAACGAATTAATTTTACAATGAATTTCCTCTTCCCATTTCCAGTGCGCTATGTGCTGCGGCGGCACTGCAGCTAGTATGTGCTGTTCGGCCTGTCCCAGTTGCACCAATGCTTCCTCATCCCGGTTTATGTACGCCTTCATCCTATTGGTGGGCACTGTCCTCGGGGCCATTGCCCTTTCTCCCGGGCTGCAGGACACTCTGAAGAAGCTGCCCTTTTGCATCAATTCGACTTCCTCGTACAGCTCCAAGGCCATCGATACTTTCTCGGGAGGATCCCTTCAAGTGGACTGCGAATATGCGCTTGGTTACATGGCCGTGTATAGGATCTGCTTTGGAATGGCTTGCTTCTTCGCCCTGATGTCTGTAATTATGCTGGGAGTGAAGAGTTCCCGGGATCCGCGCTCACACATTCAGAACAACTTTTGGCCTCTGAAGTTCCTGATCTGCTTTGGGGCAGCCATTGGTGCTATCTTTATTCCGGACGGATCCTTTGGGCCGGCCATGATGTGGGTAGGCTTGATAGGCGGCCTGGCCTTTATTCTTGTCCAGTTGGTAATCATTGTGGATTTTGCACACTCGCTGGCGGAGAATTGGATAGGTGAGTCATGGTTTTCTTTGAAGATTTTCAAGGTGATTCATCTCGCTTAATTAATTATCTTACAGAGAGCGCAGAAAACAGTCGTGGTTATTACTATGCCTTGGCAGGGGTCACTCTTTTGGGCTATATCTTATCGCTGACCGGGATTACGCTGCTGTACATCTACTTTACCACTGTGAGTGACAGTTTATAAAGCTTATTTGTCATTTACTTAATATTTATATATTTTCAGAGCACTGGCTGCGGCATCAACAAGTTCTTCATTTCCATCAACCTCATACTCTGCCTGGTGATCAGCGTAATCTCCATTTTGCCCGCTGTTCAGGAGCGTTTGCCACATTCCGGCTTGCTGCAGAGCTCCTTGGTTACCCTGTACACGATCTATCTGACCTGGTCCGCTGTGGCCAATAATCCGGGTAGGCATTCCACGAGCAAACTTGTCTGAAATGAGTTTTAAATTAGTTCTATAAACTTTCAGAGAAGGAATGCAATCCTGGCATGTTTGGACTGATGGATGGCATTGGCAATGCAACCACAACTGTGGCTCCGCCTTCACACAACTCCAAGGTTACATTTGACACCACCAACATCATCGGCCTGGTTGTCTGGCTTTTGTGCATCCTCTACAATTGCATCAGTTCGGCGGTGGAGGTGTCGAAGATCACCCATGACAACAGCGAGAAGCGTGGTAGGTTCCTGTCCATTCCCTGTCCGCATTTCCATGCCATTACCCCACACATTTCCACAGTTGTTTCCATTCACGTATTCGCTCAACCGCCTTTCACTTTTCATTTTTCGCTCGCTGTAAAAACGAAACCCAAGCTAATACTGATTATTAACACTCGTTTTGCCTTCGCCGCTTTGTTTTTATTCTCTTGATTTTATTTTCCGATTAACCCAACTAACCCTTTGGTAATTTGAAAACTTGAAACTGTGTGAAACACCATGTGGCGGCTCCTCTTTTGCACTCCAATTAATGTAGTTTTAACAGAAGCTCTATCAGACACAGAGGCGGGTGGCAAGGAGGCCGATGGAAAGCCAAGCACCGACACCGAAACCGAGGGCGTCACCTATTCCTGGTCCCTATTCCATGTGGTCTTTGTCTGTGCTTCGCTCTACGTGATGATGACACTGACCAATTGGTACAAGTGAGTATTACAGGATTACTTTAACCGCAGTTTTTAAAGGAGAAACTGTATCCTTGCGCAGACCCAACTCGGACATTGAGCTCTTTAACGGCAACGAGGCTTCCATGTGGGTCAAGATCATCTCCAGCTGGCTGGGCGTCTTTATCTACGGCTGGAGTTTGGCCGCTCCCATTATACTCACCAATCGCGACTTCAGTTAAGCGACCTTATTAGTGTATTATTAATAATTAATTAATCTAGGAGTGGTGCTTAAGCGAGAAAAATGCCAAAAAATGGAGCGACGAGAAATTAGTTTCTGAAACTGACGGAGAATTAATCATACATAATTTTGATTCTTAGTGTGGTGTCTCTACTCATTGATCTTATTCTCAAATTTGCAACAGTTATCAATATAAAATATATATGTAATCGATATACAACAATATATAACAAAACTTAACCAAAATTACAGTTTTTGTATAACATTGACACTTTCCTGGGGCATGCCCTCTTTGAGTCTTTCCAGGGTTACTGTTTTCCCTAGGATTTCCATCATTTCTGCCACGCCGGGACCTTCTTTTAAGCCACTTAAAGCCGCCCTTAAGGCCTTCATCATGAGGGGAAACTTTAGTTGCTCTGTTTGAGCAAAGTTTTTAAGCTTTACATTAAGTTCATCCTTGGTAAAGTCTTGATGGGAGTCGAGTTCTTTAAGCAGATTAATTAATTGCTGTGGCGTTAGATCCTTAAGTTGAAAATCTGAGGGTTTCACCCAAAGGAAACTTAATTTACTGCTGGTGAGGTCTTGGAGAAGTGTCAAGCGTTGGGAAGACCAATTAAGAACATCCAGTATGTGATCCTCCGCCAGATCTAAGTTGGAGCTGTCAGAAAACATAGTTTCTTATTGTTATTTTGTTTAAATATTAAATCATAACTCACTGTTTGGGATAGGCTTCCTTAACCAGTTCCTGAACTTGCTGAACCAACTCCCCTCGGCTTTCTTTTCCACTCAAGCGGTGTTCTATCTCCAGGCGATTTAGATCATCCAGAAGCTCGGGATTCAACCGACTGGGATGTGAATTAACCCGCTCTATATGAAACTGCTCGCCAAGCTCCTGCATGCTAAGCAATTGCTGCTTGGCATTGGCTCTGTGCTCGAATCCACCGCCCGCAGACACCACATAATTGATCAGGGCCAAGGGAAAGTATCCTCGCTGTCGGAAATGCTGAATGCCAATGTCCCCTTGACGCTTACTCAGCTTGGTGCCATCGGCATTGACCAAGAGTGGAAGGTGACCAAACTTAGGTGGCTGCCAGCCAAAGGCTCTGGAAAAGAAATCTATTTTAAGCAAGAAAAACTGATAATCCTGAAATGAAACCTACTTGTAGAGCAGCAAATGCTTGGTGGTGGATATCTGCCACTCGACTCCGCGTAGGACATGGGTGATGCCCATCAGGTGATCATCCACCACGTTGGCAAAGTGATATGTGGGGAATTGATCGCTCTTCATGACCACCGGATCACCTTCGTTGTCGCTGACATTGTGATGGACATGCCCATAAATAAGATCATCCAGTGGCTCTTCGTGATCGGTTAGCTTGAACCGGATGCAGTTAGGTGTTCCCTTGGACATCAGTGCATCTACTTCCGCTGCCGTAAGATGCCGACACTTGTTATCATAGCGAGGAACTTGTCGGGCTCTCAGCGCCTCCTTACGCAACAAATCCAGGCGACGCTCCGTACAGAAACACCGATAGGCGCTGCCATTCTGAAGCAGCTCTTCAATGGCTTTGCTGGTTGGGAAAGGATTGAAAGACTCTTAGTTTCTTTAATGGAATTGATGAATTTTATCTCAAAACCTCACCTGTAAATCTCTCTTCTTTGGCTCTGGACATAGGGACCGTACTCCCCTCCAAAACCCGGTCCCTCGTCGATCTCAATGCCCGCCCAGCGCAGATCCTCTACCAGGCGTTCACTGGCCCCCGGCACAAGTCGCGTTTGATCCGTATCCTCGATCCGGAGCAGGAATTTTCCACCCAAATGGCGGGCATACAAGAAGTTGTACAAAGCAGTGCGCAATCCACCCAAATGCAAGTATCCTGTGGGACTGGGGGCAAAGCGGACGCGCACCTGGTTGTGGGCGTGGCGTAGGAACTGCCGCAGCAGGAGACGCTGGTTTATCTTTAACATTTCTTTGAGGGAAATAATGAAACTTCTTTCGCCGGGATTTGTTTACTGAAAACAGCTGTTGCGAAGCAGAGCTGCCAACTTGATTTATGTATAATAAGGCGGACAATTTAAATCAAAGGATAGATATTCATATATTTTGATATTAGTAATATTTATTAGTTAATTACTTTCGTGAACTTCTATTTATATTAAATTAAATTCAATCAACTTTAATTTAAATGAGGCTTTAATTTTTTAGTGATGTTTTTAAAAAATGCATATATTTTCTTTACAAGGAATCAATAAATTAGCATTAGTTTTCATTTGTGAACATTCGGCTTAGTGGTAAGTATTACACGGGCTCAGGTTGACTGGCGCATTCGAAAGCCTACTTAATTGCGCAGTTGGCCAGCTTGCTGGACAGCTTCTCGCCCTCAGGGGTCAACAGGAAGTTATCCTTCCACACGGCCAGGCCATCGCCATTGGTCTTAAAGTCCACGGACAGCTTCTCCCACACCTTCTTCTTGGGATTAAGCTGCTCGTCGGGCGTGCCGCTGTATCCTTCGAAGGCAAGCCGACTGCCAGGAGTAGCATTTGCTGGCAGCACAATGGGCTCCACAACCGTGTGATCAGCACTGAAAAAGCACAGGAAAATATTAAGAAAAACCCTTAAGAGATGTTATTATTTGCGACTCACTTGGAAGTGCACAAGACCATGCCCTCGGACAGAATGCCACGCATTTTGGAGGGCTTCAGGTTGCACAGAACCGCCACCAGGCGCTGCTCCAGCTCCTCCTGGGTGACAAACTTCACCAGGCCACTGATGATTGTGCGGGGCTGCTCCTCAGCCAAGTCTATTTTCAGCACATACAAGGTGTCGGCGTCGGGATGACGTGCCACCTCCACAACCTTGCCCACACGAATATCCAGGCGATGGGGAGCATCCTCATCCCCGCCAGCCGCTGGGGCAGCTGCTCCAGCCTTGACCTTTGCCGGTGGCGGATAAGCAGCAGCACTAAGTTTTCTGAAAGAGTAAATTAAGTTTATCCAGAAATATCTGTTATCGTATTCCAAATATAACTTACTGCAGCTCAGGCTTTTCGAAGGCCTTACGAATAGGATCCAGTAGCCGGTTGATGTATTTCTCCACGGTTGCCTTAAGGTCACCAGGATGCAGCTTATCCTCCGCATAGTACTTCTCCAGCTCGTCGTACTTCAGGAAAGTAATATTGCCGCCATGCTCCGCCTCCCGCGTCACCTCAAATCCTTCACCTTCCTTGAAGAGCGAGAAAAGAACATGCTTCACAAAGGACAGAAGTCCATTGTCGGCAATGTTTCCGGGCTCGCAGAAGGCCTTCTTCAGCTTCTTCTTTACATTGGCCGGCGAGTCAAGCAGATCGATCTTGGAGTCTTCCTCGGAAGAAGACATCTTTCCTCCAGCCAGACCGGGAACTGAAAGGGAGTGGCGATTATGAACGAGTTTCTAGTGGGGTAGATTGCGATGACTCACCCATGGGGTTCATGAAATGGATGCGTTTCTCGTAGCCCAACTGAGGCAGGTACTTCTCTGAGAAGGTGAAAATCTTGCGCTGATCCACACCGCCGAACTGAGCGTCCACCTTGAGGTACTCCTCATCCAGGGCCTGCAGACCAGGGTAAAGCAATCCCGAGAGCAGCGGGTACTCCACCTGCTTGACCACCTCGGCGCCGGCCTTCTTTGCATCGTGCTGTGTGACCACCGAACTTAGCTTGTACACATCCAGGGTGTACTCCTTGGACAACTGATAGTCGCTGCCCTTGACAAACTTCAGCTTCTCCAGGGGAACGCCAATGGAACTGAGCATGGCTTTGATAACCTGCTCGTAGTATTGCGTGCGCAGCTCCAGAAGGGACCACGGCGCCTTCATGTTATCCAGATAGGCATGGAGATCAGCAAAAAGGATGGTGACCTCGCAACCGGCCTTCAGGAAGTCTGCAATCTTCGACATGGGCACAAAGTAGGCAACATGTGGCTTGCCCGTGGTGGCCGTGCCCCAGTAGATCTTCAGATCGCGCTCGCCGAGGATCTTTGTCAGCTTGTCATCGCCGAGCGTCTCCTGTAGGTTGCGCGTAATCAGAGCTTTCTTCTCCGCGGGCGTTAATTCCACCATTTTTTCGGACTTTATTTAAAGTTTCGTGCGAAATCACGAAATTGTTGCTGGAAAGAGGAAGACCGCAACTGCATGCGTGGTGAACAGCTGTTTTGGCCATGGGAGCTGCAAACTTGCTTTAGGATCACATTTAAACGTTTATACGTGATTTCGTGACTATATGAAACTACTATAATAATATCGTAAAATTACCTATTCTAGGTACATGTATATAAAAATTTTGGGAATTTATAGCTTAAACCAAGTATAAAGCCAGGTTTCGTTTCATGTAATTGAATGAATCATGAATTCACAAGTTTAGTCGCAATTTGACGGCTGTCTTAAGAAGTGGTCGGTTATTTTTAAAGTTTCCGCATCTGGTCACACAAATTGTGAAATTCGCGCGTGCGGTGTTTGTTTATAAATACAATTGGACCAATTGATGAAATTCCCAATTAATATCGAACTGTAAATTGGCCGGAAACTACGCATTATAACCAACAAGGATGCCCGTTATCGAGGGCAAGGATTTGGTGCAGCTGCAACGCCGCCAGCAACAGGTGCGCAACATCTGCATTTTGGCGCATGTGGATCATGGCAAGACAACGCTGGCGGACTCCCTGGTTGCCAGCAATGGGATCATATCCCAAAGGATGGCAGGTAAGCTTCGCTACCTGGACAATCGGGCGGATGAGCAGGAGCGTGGAATCACCATGAAAAGCAGCAGCATCTCACTGTATTACCAAGAGGCTGAGAATCCTGATGGAAATCAGGATTTCCTCATCAATCTTATTGATTCCCCGGGGCATGTGGACTTCTCCAGCGAAGTGTCCACCGCAGTGAGGCTATGCGATGGCGCCATTGTCGTGGTGGATGTGGTGGAAGGTGTGGGTCCGCAAACTCGCGCCTGCTTGAAACAAATCTACGAGGAGCAATTGAAACCTGTCCTGGTGCTGAACAAGTTGGACCGTCTGATCCTAGAGAAGCAGCTTGATCCGCTGGATGCGTACTTTCATTTAACCCAAGTCCTTGAGCAAGTCAACGCCGTCTTGGGTAGCATTTTTGCATCGGATATCTTGGCCAGGGAAGACATCACCAAGAAGGATAACTACGAGTCTGCCCTGGAGGAAGTGGACGACTCAGAGCTGTATTTTTCGCCCAGCTCTGGGAATGTCATCTTCTGCTCCGCCTATGATGGCTGGGCCTTCTCCGTCCGAGACTTTGCCGCCATGTATTCCAAGCGTTTGGAAATGAAAAGAGAAGACCTCGAGCAGGTTCTGTGGGGTGACTTCTATTATAACTCCAAGAAAAAGGAAGCTATGCCAGGTGCCCAGGAGAAAGCCAAGAAGCCCATGTTTGTGCAGTTTGTGCTGGAGAATATTTGGAGTCTGTACGACATTATAGCTATCAGAAAGGACAAGGACAAACTGCCCGGAATAGCTGAGAAGCTGGGACTTAAGTTGGCCGTTAGAGATTTGCGCTTGACCGATCCTAAGCTGCAGATCAAGGCAGTACTTGGACAGTGGCTACCCATTGATAGAAGTGTCCTGCACATGGTCGTAGCTCACGTTCCACCGCCGCACCAAATCAGCGAGGAGAGGGCCCAGAGATTGCTTTACCCCGCGAATGTGGAACTAAATACACTGCCTCTGGAAACGCTGAAGCTTAAGGAGAGTTTCACCAGCTGCGATGCGAGCAGCTCCAATGTGATTGCCTTTGTGTCCAAGATGTCACCTGTGCATGTAACCCAACTGCCACAAAATAGACCCAAGAGACTGACCGACCAGGAGCTGCAGCAACGTAGAGACGAAGTACGCCGTCGGATTGAAGAACGAAAGCAGCAAACTGACCAAACTGAACTGGAGAAGATTACCCAGGGTGTGGAGCAGCTGAGCTCCCAGGCAGAGGTAGCAAAAAAGGAGGAATCCGAACCGGAGTCGGAACCCAACGAGTATGTTTTCATAGCCTTTGCCAGAGTGTTCAGTGGAACCTTGAAGCGTGGCATGCAGCTGTTTAATCTTTCGCCAAAACATGATCCTCGCCAGCCAACGCATCGCAGGGAGGATGAGGCTCCCTATGCTAGCCGTGTGACCATCGGCGATCTTTACATGTTCATGGGCGGTGAGCTCCAACTTCTGGATGAAGTGCCCGCAGGGAATATAGTTGGGATCGGAGGCCTGGAATCCCACATTGTGAAGACAGCCACTTTGAGCAGCAGCTTGGACTGCACTTCCTTTAGTGAACTGAGTATCATGGCCACGCCCATTCTCCGAGTGGCCATCGAACCCGTTCAGCCGCAGGATATGCCGAAGCTGGTTAAAGGTTTGAAACTCCTGAACCAAGCCGATGCCTGCGTCCAGGTGTCTGTGGCCACGACCGGTGAACATGTGATCACCACTCTCGGTGAGGTGCATGTGGAGAAATGTGTCCATGATTTGGAGCAGAGCTATGCCAAGATTAAGGTGAATGTCTCCAAACCAATTGTGTCGTTCAGGGAAACAATTGTTCCAGCTGCCACCGTGGATATGGTGAATGAGGCCATTGTTAAGACGGCTGAGGATAAGGATGTGACCAAGAAGATTGCTGTCCAGCAGACACTCAACAAACTGGGCACCCTCAAGGTGATAGCGGTGCCCTTGCCGGTGGAGGCAGTGGAGCTTCTGGAAAAGCATGCAGAGTTTTTCAAGGTTAGTTTGAAGATATCTTTATAGTTCTTATGATAACATATGATTTTGATAGGAACTATCTGCCATACCCCGAAATCAACTCCTCTCAGAGAAGTGGACCACTTTGCTGGCTTCAATCAAACTGAAACTGATTGCTGCTCTCCAGGAACTTCAGTTGTTTGGCTTGAGTTCCCTCTCCCCCGAAGAGCTCGTGAATCGAGTTTGGGCTCTGGGTCCTCGAAATTGTGGCACCAACATTCTACTTAACCTTAGCGACTATGAGCAGCCGAACTTTTGGTCTAGTCACGCCAAGTCTTCGGAGACAGATATTCGTTCCGCAAGCGATTCGCGTAAGGATTTCAATAGTTCTTTGGTGAATGGCTTCCAATTGACCTCGGGAGCGGGTCCTTTGTGCGAAGAGCCCATGCAGGGTGTGTGTTTTGCCGTTCTCGAATGGTCTATTCAATCGGAAGGAGAGGATTTGAATGCAAGAGGTCCCTTTTCGGGTAAATATTGGAGTATTAAAGTCTTAAATATATAATTTAATGTAATTTTAAATCAATTTAAGGACAAGTTTTGACTGCTGCCAAGGAAGTGTGTCGTCAGGCATTCCAGAATCAACCACAAAGATTGGTTACTCCCATGTACAGCTGTAATATTGTGGTCAATGCTGAAATGTTGGGTGAGTTGGAACGAATTTTATATATATTTAAATACTTTTCACAAATGATTTAGATTGTTTAACTATCTATTTTGCTGTATAAATCGTTTCTTTGTGGGGAAGTAATGTTTATCGAAAGGAAAAAGTGAAATATGGTATATCGAAAAAGAGATTGCACTTAATATCATATCGAAAATATCTTGAGGGTTGATATATTGAGTTTTTATGTATCGAAAACTATCGCATTTAATAGTTGAATATAAATTTTATCGGAAAACATAATGAAAATATGTCCAAACTGGGTGATTAAGGGATTATTATATTATATTACAACGTTAAAATCTTGATTTATGTATCAGTTATAATCTTAAATCTCTAACTTCTACTTCTCTTTTAAAAAAACCCACAAAAAATACGTTTCTTATATATGATGTGTGGTTTTAAAATAGTATTTTATTTAACTACTAGTAAATGCAGCTTAGGTCTAAACATAAATAAGCAACTTAATTTAGGTTAAATAATTTCGGTGTTGTTTTTTTTGCTTTTAAATTATTATTTTTTGTTTCGTGTTCTTTTGTTTTAAAATAGTTTCCAGTTTTGCACCTAAACTATTCGTTTAATTCGTTAAACATTATTTTAAGAAAAGTTGAGGCCTTGTTTACGCTTAAATGCAAAACAAATTAATTAAACAATTAATGCGACTGTGCCCGGGCACGTGTAATTGTTTAATTAATTCGTAAATTGTTTTGTAAATAAATACATGTATGTATAAATATATAAATTAAGAGAGACAGAGAGCGTGGGTTTGGGTTGGAGAAATGCCAAGGGAAATGCCTAAAAAATTGGCTTTAAATTAAGAAAAGCTTAGCCGCTAATTACGTTACGCTATGCTAGACGTTACGTGACGTGAACTTTTATGCTTTTTCGAAGCCATTTGCATATACGTTTTTTCTTCTTCTCGTCCTCACTTCAGTCACAGTTGTTTTTTAATTTTTTTGCTTGCACAGTTTCTAGTCGGTAACCGGAAATCGCCTTGTGCTATAGAAATTGTATCTACTAGGATTGGTTGGTTGGTTGATTCGTTCCCCGGCACACTCTTAGTCCCAAATGATGCTCTGCTGGAACTCCAGGACACGATCCCAGGGGAATTCCGGTTCGTAGTCGTCCGTTTCCGGTAGCGATCGCTTGGCCCGACTCTCGAGCGGTGCCTCCTCCGCCGCTGGCACAGGAAGCGCAGCAGCAGCCGCCGGTTCTGCCTCCACCTGTTCCACCTGCAGTGTGGTCCTGGCCTCCTCCTCACCCGCCGGAGTACTGCTGCCCGGTTGCTCCTCAGTGCCAGTTCCCGATCCACTTGACATTGCCTCAATGGGCGGCAAATCGCCGCGTCTCTCATTGTTGCGTCCATAGTTGCTGCCTGGGAAATTGTTGATCGAGAACTGATCCGGCCGGAAGTTGGCAGAGCTATGGCTGCTTCCGCTACTCTCCGGACGGTTTAGATACTGATACGAACTGCTGCCGCCACTTTGGAAGCTCTGATCCTGCGGCTGATAGTTGGCACTGATGGCTGAACTGCCCACAGAGCCACTTCCGCCATAGATGGGACGACCGTAGCTATCCTTCTGACCTCCCAGGGAACCACTTCCGATACCTCCTCCGATGGAGGGACGATAGAAGGGCTTCTGCAGCTGATATCTCTTGGGTGGCTGGGTGCTGGGCTTGCGCACAGAGTAGCCTGGCTTCACGCACATCATGCCAAAGACTCGGATGCCGGGCACACTGGCATATGTGGGCTGGTCATGAGCCATGGGTCCCTCTGGAAGAAATACGAATATTACCATGAAATTGTTGTGGTTTTAAGTGGGTTTCGAATATGGAATTTTCTAGGTTTTATTTAATATGTTATTTACATTTTCTTATATTTAAAACTCACCCATTTTGAAGTGATCGGGACAGCGACAGATAACCAGATAATGCGACTTTCCGGTTCTTGTATTCTGAAGTGCCAGCAGAGACCAATCCTTGGGTGAGCGGCATTCACGCATCTCCGTGGTGGCCTCACAGGTCTTGGCCAGTGTGATGGCCTAAACAGAGAATAGAAAAAATCAGCGGTTAAAAAATAAGTGAAAATGAGACCAGAATAGGAAAAAGTAAAGTCCCTTTTATTATACCCCTTTCGGGGTATTATAATTTTAGTCAGAAGCTTGTAACGTTGAAAGAAATCATTTCCGACCCCATAAACCATATATATTCTTGATCAACTTCAACAGGCGAATTGATCTAGCCACCTCCAGAAGAAATAATTTTTTTTTAATTTTTTTAATATTTTTTTTTAAGGTTTTAAATCGTCAAAAAAGATCACAAATTTACCAAAATTTTAATTTTGTTTTATTGTGAAATTTATTTAACCTTATAACCTTATTAACCTTATAAAAACTAGCCAAAACCCGCTTTCCGAATTGAAATTAATGATTTTTTGACTAAGTTATGGTTCATTTTGTATTCTATCAATTGACCGAATTGCCATACATACTTCGGTTTCCATTACAGGGTATTCTAATTTCAGTCAGAAGCTTCAAAAGTAGTGAATTAGTCATATCCGACCCCATAAACCATATATATTCTTGATCAGCATTAACAGCCGAATCGATCTAGCAATGTCCGGTAGAAAAACCAATGTTTCAAATTTTTTCTTAATTTCAAAATTTTAAAAGGGGTAAAAATATCAATAAAAAAATGGAAAAAATTTAAATTTTTTTAAGTCTTAAATTGAGTATGCAGATTTATTAATCTAATAAAAACTAACATGGGAAAGTTTGCCAAATTAAAATTAATGGTTTTTTGGCCTAGTTATGAGTTTTTTAAACTTTGCCTTTAAAAAAAAAGTTGTCATATAAAAATATCTTTAAGTATTGATTCAAAAAATGCTACTATCTCAGGCTTAGCTATGATCAAGTTTCGATTCTATACGCCAAAGGCAATTCTGAAGGTTATATAAACTTTGGCTTCCCGAAATTAGTTTTCTTTCTTGTTAAATTTTAAAAGCACTTTTTGAAGTTACCATTAAACTCTTTCATTACCCAAAAAGTAAAACGGATTTATGTGTAAATATTTTTTGTTGTAGTGCAGGAGTCTGTCTAGACATGGTAGACGTGGTCTAATATTTAATAGTTAGTCTCTCTCTCTATGCCAGCGATTAGACATTCACTTTGGCCCGGAGGGCAGGAAAGAAAGTTACCCCGAAATCCCGATACTAGACTAGACACCAAACATCGACACCGTCTCCAAGGCTCCGATCATGACTCTAAATTGAAAGCTGGCATGCTAAACGCTATGGACAGAGCCTGGACACGTAGCTGTCACTTAGCACGAGCTAAAAAGAGGCTTAAAAAACAGGAGCAGTCACCGCCCAGGGGATAGATTTGGAGATCTGCCAGACTTTTATAACCGAGGGCTAAACCCAAACACTTAGCTGGTGTTTTTTTTTTTCGTCTTTTTGCTATGCTTTCAATTGGCCAACTTGATTGTCCTTTAACTGATTTACAGCTTGGGCTACTGTTGTTCACCGAACGTAATTTGATTGACTCTTGCGGCGCTCGTTTGCATGTCAAGTCGATTGATTGGAAATCTCAGCTGCTCTTTGGGCTCTGACTTGGTTTTTTCCTCCTTCCTCTGGCATTCAGGTTAATGTTGTCCGCCCGGCTGTTCCAGTTTTTGTATTTTTTTTTTCCTACTACTCCGCTCTTGTTTTCCAACTAAACGCATTTTCATAATTTGCTGTACAGTTCCGGCAGAGTAGAAATAGCAGAAAATGTCTCGGAAGCCAAAGGCAGCAAGTGTTGCATTTAACGGTAAAGTGAAGTGTAATTATGACAATGTCTGACACTGCCCACACTCCACATACACTCCACGCAAAGCACTTGGCCCGGCCATTAAGCCATTAGAAATGATTTTTATTATTATTTAATTTATCTTCAAGACCCAAGACCCGAGAGAGCCTGGCCTGGCTTGGCTTTTCGCATTTATAACTCAATTAAATGCAGTGAGCCGCCTATCGCATATCGAGTTAGAAAACAGGGGCCGAAGGAGCAGATCATGGTTGGGCAATAAAGCAAATAATATTGAAAACCGCACACAAGGTGATCTCCCTAATAACCTGACCATCATCATGGTCGTGCCTTTTGGCAATGCTGGGAAAACGAATCCTCAAGTGAGAGTCTGTGGCCAAGACCAAGGAATCAATTTCACAAGTCAGTCATCCGGAAAATGAGGCTCAATTTCGTTGCCTGATCTTTAACTGATCAAATGATATATTGCTTGCTTCCAGACATCGTGTTTTTCATTAACCGAACCGAGCCTTGGGAAATTCACAATTGATACGGGGAGTGATTGCTGTGTTTTTCTTCTTTTTTGTAAATGCCACTGATTTTTGTTACTAACTGATTTGAATTATAGACCATTTGTTGAGGGGTTTTTAAGAGGTATTTAATTTTGTCTATAGAGATTCCCTTGAATAGAGTGGGTAATATGTACCATTTTTGTTTAAATTGTTTGCAAGTTAATCATAATAATGATCTGTAAATTAGTTTTATGTTTACATTTTTCATGATCAGCATAATTAGTGAAGTATTCTTGAAGAATATGTTAATTACCAATTAAGTTTAGGAGATCATACTGTTAAAAGATCAGTAACAAAGTTAAATCCTTAAGTATGTTCCCTCAAAAACAATCTTTCGAAGAAAAGAAACTCAGATTATTCTTTCTCATATCATTCCTCATATAATTTCCTTTAAAATTGATTTCCCATAATAATTTTTCTTTCACATACTGCATGGGAGTATTTTCTTCCTTAATTATCTAATCCAAAATGCAACTCTACTCTGATATTAACTTCCTCAAACACACAACTCTCTTCCGCTATTTGAACTTGATTATAGTTACAGAAAATGAAATTCGTGGATTTTCTTTATTGAATTATGTGTTACCCATGATCTACCTCTGAGATGCCATCTTCCATTGATTCATTTAAAATGGGATCAAATCATATTTTTTGTGGTTTCGTTTTCCCCAGACTAAAACTCAAAAAGTCGTGCCACCGCGGAACCTGTAACTATCCATTGAATTAATGATCCCGCGAGAGAGTGATCTAACAAATGATCTACAAACTGCACTCCAGCAGTTCCACTTTCGGTTCCCAAGTGATCTCTTTCGAGTCGTGGCCAAAGCAATTATCTAAGTAATTCGGTTGGGAAGAACACCATTAAGTCTTAGTCTAGTCTCTCTCTCTATCTCTTACCTTCTTTTTATTATCGCCAACCAATTTTGTGGTATGCTGATCATCTTCGTTGAGACTGGCAGAGCAGGGATCACGATATCTGAGATAGATTAGATTTGCAGGATTAATTAGCAGTCCATGGGGAGTGACAAGTGGGTAGGTTGTTCCAATCTAGCAACTCACCTGGATGGACAGGCACACAATGGCTGGGTATAGTTGAGTCTTACGTAGACGGCATTGCAGACCTGCTGAATGGCGCATTCGGGCAGCAAATAAATGTGCTGATTGTGGGGATAATAATGATATTTTGTTGGTTTCGCTGTCGCCGTTTTCTGCAAAAAAAATAAAATAACAAGAATAGCAGATGAGTTCCAGCTTCTGTTGATTGATGTGGCCAAAAGGGTTTCTTCTATTTGACCAGCAATTAAAGTTGCGCTGGATACTAGTCGGTTGTAGCCCTGGCCAGTTGGTAAATGTTTGCTCCACAAGAGGAGCCTTGTGTCTTGTCGAGGCGTTGCAAGAGTGCTGTTTGTCTACTGCCAGCTCTGCCACGGATGAAGTGCGAAATTGACGCCGTTTTTTTCCCCTTGGGATTGTTTAGACCAGGCCAAAACCCATTCCTGCACATTGCATTCTACCAAAAAGTACTCGGAATATTTCGCAGAAGTTTGTGAAAGCATATAAAAGTATTGTATGAGGTTTACGTAGTAGTAAAACTAGCAGGAGTTAAGGTATTTTATCCTAGAAGATCATATATTGAAAATTCCACTTTAAAAGGTTCTTTGATATTTTTATCAGACGAAAAGCAAGAACTCTTCTGTCATTCTTTCTTTTCTTTTAAATTTCGAAATAAATGAACCAACAAAATGATACGAAAAGAATAATTTGATAAGGATTTAAAGAGACCTATGAATATCTACCAAATAAAACTTGAAGTACTTACAATTCAGATTAAAATCAAATAAATAAATCAATTTCCTGATATTCTTTAGGTTCATTTCCTAACCCATATCCCTTATTTTCTTATTTATTTTTTAATAACAAATCCGAAGCGAAAACGGTTAAAGTGTTATAAAGCAGAAGCAAAAGATGAGAGAATCGCGGTATGGAGTTCTTCTTTATGGATTCAAAGTAGAGTCGACTTGAGTTGATTCGAGTCCAGTTTGAGTCGCAATGAGTTTGCGATGAGTTGACTCGAGTTGAAGTTGCCTTGGCCAAAGCAGGTTAATGGCAAACGAGACCCTCACATAATGCCACACAAAATTGCTTGGCTCGTTGCGAGTTTGCAACGCGGCTTTTTTCCGCCGAACGAAAAACGAGGGGAACAAAGTTATTAAGAAATTGATGCAACTTGGAGGGGGACCGAATGCAAGTGCGAGTATCTACGCAGCAAGAAAAATAATATAAAAATTTAATAATAAAATATTTTATAAATTTATCTATATTGGGAAAACATTTCCTTACAATAGTTCAAAAGAATTGCATAACAAATAAACCAATGAACATTTTAACTTAATTTTTCTGAAGTGTTTCAGTTTATTTGGACTAAAAAATGGAAAATAATGTATAGAAAATAATACAAAATACTATCGCAGATATTTTAAAGAAATTACAATAGTTTAAGATTACTTTTCTGATCTTTATAACATCGATATCAATTAATTAAATTCAATAATTTCAGCAGAATGTATACCCTTTGTTTATGGCTTAAAACTCTTGCAGTTTTTCATTTTATGAATATATTTCCTTACTTTATAACAAGGAAATACTTCTAACTTATAATTTTCTTTCTTTATAAGTTTTTTCTCAGTGTATTCATATAATATGTGTTTGTGTCTGGTAACCTAGGGTAACCGGGTAAACTGCCAAACGCACTTTTACTTGTTGGTAGCTTCGTTCTTGTAATTTCCAGCCATCTCCCTTTACTCTTTTTTTTTGTTATTTTTATTTTCCCAACTCAACCCATCAGCCACTTCCTTCCTGTGACCATTTCCCAGTGTTTTCCCCTGAAGTTGTTTTTCATTTCGGGAAACTTTTAGTTATGGTAAGAGGGGAGAACTCAGGATACTCTGTCCCTGCCACTTTCATTCACGCTTTCCGCCACCTTTTTATTTGGCTATGAAAAAGTTTTATAGTTTGCATTTTTTGGTAGCCATTTTGCTTAAGAAGTTGGTAGCTTTCAACTTTTGTTAGGTATTTATTTAATTATTTTACAAGTTGTTGTATATATTTATGTGTAGCAAGGCATGAAAATTCGTAGAAATCAAAAGGGAACTTAATGATTGTATTTGAAAAGAAAGGTAATTAAAGGTTAGAAGGTTTAGTATTTGAAATAAAACAAAGCAGACTTTACTTTGAACTTGATTAAATATAGAAAATTAAAGTAATTAATATAGTAAAGAGCAGAAAATACTTTTGAGTAATTACCCATAATTTATCTTTATATTTTTATCTTTATTTTTGCTTTTCATTAAAGGTTAAGCACTTTTCCATTATTCCCATTTTTAGAATCTGCAAATATCTTACAATCTTGTTGCTGCCTCCAGCAGCTTTCCTTTCAGCTGTCAATTTATCGATCGACTTTGTTGCAACCTCCACGCCTCCACGGGAGAACCCCTTTTCCTTTTCTTTTTTCTTTTTCCTATTGCAACTTGAACTGCAAACAATTCCCTTTCCTACTTAGCACATAATTGAACTGAAAGCATTTTTGGTTTAGGCCAAATTGCTGGGCCATGATCCAAAGGAAACGGTACTTCCCATGTCAGTCATTTGCCATTCAGCTTGGAGTTGGAGGCCCAAACACAGAGTTTTTGGAGTCAAAGCCACCTACTGTCAGGTAGGAGGAGGTCCCCAGGTCCCCTGGCCTGCCAGCTCCTTTTTTAGTTACTTTTATTTTGAGAGTGATTTACACTGACCCTGACCATTATTATTGAATTTTTTATCGCTTTGTTACTTTGGACTCCAACGTGAACTCCTCCAAGTCGGACCCTATTTGGCGTCAGCTGGTTGTCGCTTCCGTCCAAGTGTCCAAACTGTCGCCGCCAATGCCTTTGTTTCCACCTCCTCCTGCCGGCCTGTCTCTTTCACTTTGGTTAAGTACATTTTTAAATATTTACCATGTTCAGGGGGAAAACAAGAAGGGGCAGAAGCCCTAACTAGGCCCTAAGCCGAAAAGAATTTTCCACGAATTGCAAATTAAAGCGTTTTGTTGCTGTTACTCGTCGTACTCGTCGTACTCGTCGTACTCGTACGCTGTCCGCTTTTCACACAGGTTAAAGTTCAGCCGGTGGCAGTTAGCCAGGAGGTTGCAGGAGGGACTTTCCCTTGCCCCAACCTTCCCCCAACCCTACGCCCCCCTGCTTACCCCAAACCCAGGAGTGCCACTTGAAAATCGTGTTCTCCACTGCCAGCTTCCTGCAATTTGGACTGCAGTTCGGAGTCGTCGGAATCTCGACGCGACCTTTCACGGGTCTGTGTTTCTTTTTCTGCACTTCGTGTTTGGTGTTTTTTTCCCTTAGTTTGGAGTGCCATGAATTGCGTTTTGATTGAAAAGAAAGTGACATTTCCGTTGATTTTCCTTTAGCAGAATGGTTCGCTTTAGCAGAGAGAGCCATCCTTAAAGTTTTCCTTTTATGCAACTCTTTCTTTCGGTGTTCAGAGTTTGGCATTCGCCTTGCTAATTCCTCTTGGCCCAAAGTTTGTATGTGTTTCTCCTAACAAACAAGCAAAATGGCAAACAATAAATGGCCAAAATGGCAAACAACAAACAGTAAATTGCAGTGGCAAGCCAGGTAACTTTTGCTTGCACCCTGTGCAACATGACGTATGCGTGATTTGTGTACTGATGAATGATGACTGGCTTATTGACTTGTTTCGATGGGTGGCCATGATTGCCATTTGATTAGCCGGACACTTGATGAGCTATTGATGGCAACGGGGGGAAATTTTGGTAAATCTACGATTGTAAATATGAATATATATAGTATATGCATATATGCACTTTCAAATGGCTGTGAAATTCGCGAGTGTTTAAATTGGGAGAAATCTGACAAGATGGTAATTAGGATATAATTATGTCTGAGAAAATATTCGAAGAAATTCAAGAAACTTTATAGTAAAAGAAAATGGATTTAAAAAACGTACAAGTTATAAAAAATAATATAGAGAAAGTAAATTGAATTTACATCTTAACAAGTTATATAAATTTTTATTTTGTTTATTTGCTTTTGCTTATAATTTGCTTGAGGAATTTCATAAATGATTTAAATGATTGATAATTTAGATTAATTAGACTGGTTTTTGGCTTAAATGTTTGGGAAATCTATATTTTATAATAACAAAAACCTCCTTTTTTTAGATCTTCAAACTATCACCTAAGCTATAAATATTCCTTTTGATTTTACATGAAAGAAACATATAGTATATTCATAAAATACTAAAAAGCTCTTAATTAAAGCGATATTAATCTTTTGCCAATATAAAAGAGCTAATTATGTAAAACCTAACAAATAGCTTTCATAGTTATATGAATATATTATACTTAAAGAAGATTAAGATAACCTTACTTGACTTTTAACAAAGTTTGACATAAAATACGATGATAAGATGAGTGAATAAGAAAGAAAACTAAATTTAGATTATTTAAAACTGACAATATCTTAAACAAAAATGTAAAAAATATTCAAAAAAGACTATCTTCAATCATTTGTATCTACACTTTTCGCAGTCTTTTAACCACTAAAAATAAATACTAGCCATAAATCAAATAAAGAAATGGTAAGGCAAAAGCTATATATACAAAAAAATCTCAACCAAAACTAGCTTCTATTTGGTGTTGAACAATTTTGTAAATAACAAATTGCAACATTTTTCTTCTTCTTTAGCCACTTCACAGTGAACCTGCTTTTTGGCTCCCTGACTTTGTTTTTTCCGGCTAACAAGCTTAGCAAACAAGTCCTGCAGTCATCAGCACTTCTCAGATTTCAAGTCCTTGGGGCATGCGAGAGCTTATCCTCCGCGTTTTTGTATATATGTATATACAAATATCTAGGTACATATACATATACTCTTTGTATCTGGAAGCTGTGAGTTTGCCGTTTAGAGTCTTGATTTATGCCAGCATCTTGAAATTTACTTTTAATGAGAGACGACGGCGGCGGGGCAAGAGCTAAACGCATGTTACTCGACAGCACCGGCAGCTTGTATCTATATATCTCACAGATGCGAAAGCCCCGGCCACTTGTTATTCAAATCAGCTTGAAGAGATTCAAAGAGAGTAAAAAAAAAATAAAATAAAAATAAAAATACTACAGAGACATAAAATTTCACCGCT